GGTCTATTTAATGGCAAGTTTTTCACATTTTTGTGCTTTTAGTTGGTCATTGTGCTGTTTAAAATGACCCCCCCAATCATAGTGCTTAAGTGCTGTCTAGCGTTCCTAAGCACAAAAAAGCTGTGATATGTCTTACAGAAAAAAACTTGTGTTAGCTAGGCTTCATTCAGGCCTAAGTGATAGTGTTGTTGAATATGAGTTCAATGCTAATGAATTAACAACATACTTTAGGATGTCTTTAACAGAAACACACACAAGATTATGTACTGATTGTTTGACAAAAATGTTGTGACTGAATGTTCCCAGAAACCTAATCCTGTAACTCCTCCGGGAGCAATGGTTCAGTATTCACTAATTCAGTGTTCACAGAGGCTTCACAGAATGTAACTACTGCAAATAACTAGAATCAACTGTACTTGTAAAAAAGTGAAACACATACAGCACAAAATCACGTCGAAGAGTGTTGGGGCGGGAGTGGATGTGGAGTGGAAACCAAGGTTACAACCATTAAGGAGGTTATTTTATTTTAAATCAGAAAGTGATGATGGAGTCAATGCTAGCCATCTGTCCCAGGTTAACCAACAAAGCGTTAGGTGCAATACAGTGAACAGAACACTGGACTAGAAGTTGGGAAGCCTGGCTTCTGGTCACAACTCCGCAAAAAAATTAACTTACGCAAGTAAATAACTTAGGCAAGTAAATAAAACCCCTCTCTGCAGCAGTTTCTTCATCTACTAGGGTCACTCAAATCTATGGCAGTAAGAAGTCACTTTTGCCATAATTATGATGTACAGAAAATTTTCACATAAATTATCTCACTGGATGACCTGTATGGTCATCCAGGATGACTGACCATCTTTACTCCAGAATTACAAAACTTAATCATTTTACCAAAAAGAAAAAATATATTGAATGTTTATAATACTAAGAAGAATCGTCCTTTGGACTGTTTGTAATAGACATGTCACAGGGAGGACTTCAAATATGAGCTAGAAAACAACTATGCACTTATTTTTAAATTGAATGTATTAAAACACTATTTTCTTTTTAAAAATGAAAGAAAAATATTCCCAGTCTGTTGCCATTCTTGCTTCAAGGCCCTGCACCACGACAAATGTTGTAAATGTGGAGAAGCAAAAGTACCACTAGATGGAGTAAGAACAAAAGACATGCATTTCTCTGTAGTTCAAGGAATCCCCGCCGTCTTGAAAAAGGTATCTTAGTCCCGGAACGGTGGCTCACGCCTGTAATCCCAACACTTTGGGAGGCTGAAGCAGGCGGATCACCTGAGGTCAGGAGTTCGAGACCAGCCTGCCCAACTCCTGCCTGCCCAACTTTACTAAAACTACAAAAAAATTAGCCGGGTATGGTGGTGTGTGCCTGTAATCCCGGCTACTCAGGAGGCTGAGAGAAAATCGCTAGGAACCCAGCAGGCGGAGGTTGCAGTGAGCCAAGATGGGGCCACTGCGACACTCTGGGTGTCAGAGTGGGACTCTGTCTCAAAAAAAAACAAATTGAAGAAAAAGGAATCTCAGATCACCTTGAGTAAAGTGAGGCTTACTGAAGCTGAGCTACTTCCTCAAGACTCCAGACAAGTTCTTGGCAAAATCGTAACTAGAATTTCATTCCTTACTTTCCACAAAACTATGCTGATTGGAAAAGTATTTTTCCTTAGTTAGAGAACATTACCAGCAACAGTGGACTCTAGAGGTTCTTATACATTTCTTAATTCTAATAGTGCTAAGAAATGTATCTGCTAGACAATTCCAGGGGACCTACTTTAGGTAATAGGTTAAAAAGCTGTAAATATACACGTTCATAAATTTACTGACATGGTCTTAACTACGGACCCTTTCAATCATCAGGATTCAGGCTATCACCCTAAAGGTGGGCCTTTATATACACATCCCTGTCTGCTATCTCTCTTGGCAACTACCCCCAGAAGACGGGTCCTAAGGAATTGAAGGTATGGATTTGGGACGGAATTACCTTGTCGTGATGAGTGGGCAGTGGGCCATCGGCTTATTTTCTTAAAGGAAATCAAGAGCCAATTCTTGTGGGAGACTGCCGGCTGTGGGGGGGGTGGGGGGTGGAATACATTTTTCTGTAAATTTCTTTTCCGTCTTTCATTATGCCTAGTGTTCCCGTTATTGAAACGCTAAGCTTGTGGGGGTTATTTATATCCTACTGCTCAAGGTCACCGCCAAGGTCTAATTTTTCAAAGAAGAAATTTGTAACCTTCGGCATAAACTGATAATCATTAAAGGAACACAACTTGAATTTTCGTTTAGATCTTCTAGTTAAATATTCATTAAATACTTAATGATCTCTCAAAAAAAAAAAAAAAAAAATCACTGCTCTCCCACACCCGATTGAGGGCACTGGTCAAGATCTACTTTGGGAGAAGCAAAAACCTCAATAAAACCTGCAGAGCAGGAACTAAGTTGTAATACAACCATAAAAGGCAACAAAAAGCCGAAGACCGGAGAACCCACGCAGGAACGGCCCCAGGCAACCCCGGCTCACTGCCCATTCATTTTGGCCAACTTTGGAGATGCCTTCGCGTGTCCTGACAATTTGCAGCACACTGGCCCAGTCAGTCAGATTTAGGGATTCACAAGCCCCCACTGCCGGCGAGGGGTGACGGATGGGCACGATCGGCGTCCCCCCACCAGCAGGAAAGCGAACTGCATGTGTGAGCCGAGTCCTGGGTGCACGTCCCACAGCTCAGGGAAGCGCGCCGCGCGCGGGGACTCCGCTCCGTTCCTCTTCCTGCGGCCTGAAAGGCCTGTACCTCGCCCTCACCCCCGAGAGACCCGCGGCTGACAGAGCCCAACTCTTCGCGGCGACAATGGGCGCCTCCGGAGAAGCCCCGGGCCGACCGCGGCCTCCAGGCGGGGTTCGGGGGCTGGGCAGGCGACCCGCCGCAGGTCCCCGGGAGGGGCGAACGGGCCAGCAGCTGACATTTTTTGTTTGCTCCAGAATGAACGGTGGAAGGCGGTAGGCCGAGGCTTTTCCGCCCGCTGAAAGTCAGCGAGAAAAACAGCGCGCGGGGAGCAAAAGCGCGGCGCCTACGCCCTTCTCAGTTAGGGTTAGACAAAAAATGGCCGCCACCTCTCCCAGGCCCACCCTCCGCAACCCAGAGCACTGCCGGGCGAGTCCGCTTATAAAGGGAGCGGCCGCCGACCGCGCGGATTGGCCAAGCTTATTCTCGCGGTTCTCGTGATAGTCACTCTGGCAGCCGGCGGGGAACGGGAAATTAAAGTTCCATTTCCGGCCATGAGGAAAGACGCTGACCTCCCGCACTTCCGAAAAAGGCTTTGCGTCTTTACTTCCGACCTTCTTTAAAGGTGAAACTAACTTGAGGTATCAGAGGGCCTTTTTTCTATGCTCTGCGGACCAGACGCGGTTCACCTCGACTACCTTAAAAATGGAATTCACAAGAAGATTTTAGGGCCCAGGACACAGAATACTGATTCCTAGTTTTGATCATTACATTTTTTGGAGAACTTTGTGAGAATAGATTCCCAGGCAGCACTGACTAAAGCAGAATCTTGTCTCGGCTCAGTGGGATGCGTCGGAGTTCCTACTCTGCCCCCTTCTCCTTAGAATGCCTTCTCCAGCCCCTCCTTGAGCAGAGGATGGCTTTAATCAAGTGTAACTACTACATTATTAATCTTAAGGACTGGATCTCCCTTTTATTAGGAAAGGAAGGCGTTTCAATCATTGACTTTGCTTTAAAGTACTGCTGTGTCTTGATGAGGTAAAAAGAGGGGAGTAATCCACCATAAACTAACGATTTTTTTTTTTTTTTTTTTTTTTTTTTCTTGCTCTTTCGCCCAGGCTGGAGTGCAGTGGCGTGATGTTGGCTCACTGCAACCTCCGCCTCCCGGGTTCAAGCGATTCTCGTGCCTCAGCCTCCTGAGTAGCTGGGATTACAGGCACCTGCCACCACATCTGGCTAGTTTTTGTGTTTTTAGTAGAGACGGGGTTTCACCATGTTGCCCAGGCTGCAGGGCAACTGCAGGGCTCAAGCGATCCACCCGCTTTGGCCTCCCAAAGTGCTGGAATTACAGGTGTGAGCCACCGCATCCGGCCGCGAATTTTTAGAATGGCCAGTATAGTGCAGTTTTACATATAAATGACAGGATGATCTTAAAAGTTTTACTCGTGTTCAGTTGGATAAACTCCGTGGAGTTGTCGCTGTCTGTCCTCGATCTGAAAGAAAAGTAAAATGTCTCTCTTTCCATCTTTCTCCCTCCTTCTCTCTCTCCAATCCCCTTTTTCCTTCATAGCATCTGCCAGGTTGTAAAGTTTTTTAAGGACAGAATCTGACTCCTGTTTTTAGCACTATTGCACTTAGCACAGTACCTTACATAGAGTAGATGCTAAATGCTTTGAGTTATATGTCAACACCACCACCATTCTCTTAGCATCCCACATTATCTCAAACCCTTCTTTCCCCTTCATATCTAAGTAGGCACTACATCTTGTCAGTTTTCATAATTTCTTTTTTAAAATTCCTATTGCTTATAATCTTGAGTACAAGACTTGGCACTTTATATCTGGACTAGTAACTTTGTAACTGATCACCAAATCTCCAGGGCCTTCCCTGTTCAATTTATTCTCCAAACTATCACCACATTCATCATAACATAGTTTCCTTATGTCTCCTGCTTTTAAATCTTTAATTTCTCTCCTTTGCATATTGGATATTTAGCACTTAAAGCCTTTCAGTCCCTGGCCTTCACTTAACCTTGCTAGTCATAGCGCTTGCTCTTCTCTATATGAGCTCTTCACTTGAACAAAATCAGTCTAAGCTAGGCGTGGTGGTGCACACCTGTGGATTCAGGTACTTGGGAGACTGAGGGCAGAACCCAGGAGTCGGAGGCTGCAGTGAGCCATGATTGCACTACTGCACTCCAGGCTGGGAGACAGGGCAAGATTCTGCCTCTAAAACTAAATGAATAAATACATTCATAAATAAAAATTTTAAAAACAAACAAAATCAGTCTATTAAACATGCCCTGAATATGCTTTGTTCATTCTCATCTTTAGCAACTTGTTCCTTTTAGTATGCTTGCCTGGATATCTGCCCTCCATCCCAATGCCACCCCTTCCATGATGGTGTACCAGTGCTATGGAGTCTCTTTCCTCACCACAGCAACCTTCTTTCCCTAAACTTCAATAAGCTTAAATCTTATCACTCATTTGGCACATAGCATATTGTACTACAAATGCTCTCTTCCAAGGGAAATATAAGCTCACCAACATCAACTTATAGAAAAAACACTATGGGAAACATTATTTTAACTTGGTTCTACTCAATAGACATCTGTTCTTGAGCTTCATCATTATTATCCCCAAGCCCATTATAGAAATACGACAGAAATATTGGCATCCCAATCGTTGAAGTATTTTCTCTTCTCCCAGAAACACGTAATATCCAAAGTTTCTGTCACATATACTCAAAACATTTTCTTCTAACCATTTTATCTGTATTTCAGAAGCATCTTTGGTGTACTATGTTGGGTCCAACTTCTTTAAATTCTGCAGCAGTGATCCACATGTCCTGGAAGGCAGACAAAGATGCAAGAATAGAACCTCCCATCCACACTGATATTTTCCTTTCTGGGGGAGCTATAACTTGCACAGCGGTGTTGGCAGGAGCCATCTTTGCTATATCCTTAACTAGCCGCTTGTCTAAACCAGGGAAAGAGGTTGATCCCCCGGCAAGGATAATATTGGAAAAGAAGGAATTCCTCAGGCCTGTATCACATTTCATTATGCTGCTAAGGCATATCTTATCAATGCCAGGGGCCTCAAGGTTCATACAACATGGAGAGAAGAGGGCCTCTGGACAAGAAAAGAGCTGGTCATGGAGCCGGACGACCTGCCCATCAGGTAGTTGGTAAACTTTCTCTAGACAATCAGGTTTCTTGGCCATTTCCTCTTCGTAGTTCATTGCCACATAACAAAAGGTCTCCTTGATGTCTTCAACAATCTTTCTGTCTGAAGCACTAAGCAACATGATACCATGGTTCTTCATTAGCACCATGAGGTAGTTGGTGAGGTCAAGGCCCGCCAGATCCAATTGCTGCACACCATGAGGCAGACAGTAACCCTCAAAGATGGGCACACTCTGGGTAACCCCAGCACCTGAATGCAGCACAAGACCAGTAGTGAAGCCAGCAGCAAAGAGAGCCAGCACAGCCTGGATGGACATATAGAAGGCAGGAACACCCAGATGCTCAAAAAACACTTCCACGATCTGTTGCCGGTTGGCCAGTGGGTTCAGGGCTGGCTCAGTAATCAAGACTGGGCCATCACACGGCTTCAGCTTTAGGTTATAGTCATAGATATGCTTCCACATGATCTCCATGTCATCCCATGAAGTAATGAGACCACGCTCCACTGGGTAACTGTAGGGAGAGCACTAAGATCAATGACAGCTTTTTATTTTTCTAGTTCTATTGTCTTCGACCCTCAGTTAATTCCCCGTGTTTATTACCAATATCCCTTTATGGGCAATAACTGCCACAGCCTCTCACAGAAGGTAAGTGTCAGCAAAAATTAGCACAGCTACTTACCTCTGCAATTTTTGTTGCTTTCTATTTTCTCTCTCCTTTGGAAGTTTGTGACTTTTAAAAAATTGGGAAATGTCCACATTATAGTATAGTTTAAATGTCAATTGAAGAGAATAACCCAAGCGACAAAAGGAACCATGAGTTAATATTCTTTTTTGTTTGTTTGTTTATTTGTTTGTTTTGGAGACGGAGTCTCACTCTGTCACCCAGGCTGGAGTGCAGTGGTGCCATCTCAGCTCACTGTAAGCTCCGCCTCCCGGGTTCACGCCATTCTCCTGCGTCAGCCTCCCGAGTAGCTGGGACTACAGGCACCCACCACCTCACCCGGCTAGTTTTTTGTATTTTTTTTAGCAGAGACGGGGTTTCACCTGATTAGCCAGGATGGTCTCGATCTCCTGACCTCGTGATCCGCCCATCTCGGCCTCCCAAAGTGCTGGGATTACAGGCTTGAGCCACCGCGCCCGGCCGATTTAACATTCTTAAATGAATTCGTTCGATAACTTTATATGTTTGAATGCATTTGATAGCCACAGAGAGCAAAATGTTCAATTTTTTAGATGTGTGGTACCCATGGAGATTTGTGGCCCGCGCGTTTGTAGTAACTCCAGCTGGCTGGGGTTTTCCTGCTCCCTGCTTCCTTATCCTTTCTGTCCCCATTGCGCACCTCCTTTGGGGTTCTTCCCTGGCCCACCCCAACACCCCCAGTCCCCCTGCCCCCAGCCAACCCAACCCCAGCCCCACCCCCAACCCCCCCAGCCCCGCCCCCCGCAACCTCCCCAGCCCCACCCTACACACCCTCCCCAGTCCCCCCTCCCCAGCCTCCCCAGCCCCACCCCACACAACCTCCCCAGCCCCACTCCCCTACAACCTCCCCAGCCCCACCAGTCTTGCTGGGAGAAGGAGGTACCTGATGGACAGCGAGCTCCTCCAGTCCTGAGCTTGGTCACCCACGCAGAGTTCTAACCCGCCCGGCGCCGCGCGGCTCTGGCCCTTGGCGCGGCCGATGATGTTCGGGTAGATAAACTGGGGCTCCCTGCTCCCAGCCAGGCCCGCCTTGATCACTCCCGAGCCGTTGTCGATCACCACCGGAAGCTGGCAGTGGTTCATGCCGCCGCTGCCGCCGCCGCCTCCTGTCTCTGGGCCGCTCTGGCTGCGGGCTCTGCCGGGGCCGACTGCCTGAAACGCCGCGTCACAGAGGCCCCGGCACGGCCCAGTGAGGCCCGAGTCCTGGGGCGCAGGCGGGGGTTCGGGAGGCCCCCAGGCGCAAGGACTCGCTGGACTCACTGTGCTCCTCATGTCACCGCCCGCTATTGCTTCTCGCAGGAACTGGGCCACCCCAACCCCTGGAATCCCGGAATCCTAGTATCAGGAAAACCCGACTTTCCCATCAAAAGATTCAACTCTAACACTTAACAAGTGCATTTCTCAAATACCCAGAAGAGCTATAAAAGCAGTTTTATTTTCCAAAGCCACTGAATTCTGCTTAACTGGTGGCGGTTCCGGGGAGTTCTAGAATTCGCCCTTGAAACTGGGGAAAAATGAGACTTAAAAGGGGAACGTTGTCGCAGGAAGGGAGGCAGTGTCTGCTTCTGAAACGTTAAACTTCTAAAATAAGGAGAAAAATGCTAGAATTTAAATGAGTTTTAAGTACGTTTGTTATTTTTTCTCTACACTGGGCAATGCTTTGTTGTGTTTCTTCCTGTGATTTCCAAGCAAAATACACGCAATTAAAACAAAATAGTAGTTCCTCGAGTTATAGTAATTCGAATTATATCCTTCTGGTGTAATCTGCAAGCCTCATTCCCTACTCTTGATTTTTAGACTGAAGGACGTGCCCGCCTTTTTGGAGGAAAAGTGAAGTTTCTCAGGTCATAGGAAATTCAAGTTTGGAAAAATTTAAAAGTACATTGCATGTCAATAAACGCATCTTGGTGTCTGATTCTGCATACCCTGTAGAGAATTTTAAAACAAGCAGTCAATTTAGAACCTCTGCTTGGTCTTTATCATAAGCAAAAGGAGGAAATTCAAAAGTAATTTTACACGTCCTTCCACCAGCAGCTGAAAGGATGGCTTTTTCGCGGCTGAGTAACGAAAGTTGCCTGCTTCGCCCCGGAGTCTGAGCAGCTCAACCTGCGGAAAGGATGTATAATAAAACCTTCTTTCCCAGGAGACAAAAAAAAAAAAAAAAAAGTGCACCCAAAGGAAGGGCAACTCGGGAGTGCCTGGTTTCTACCGCGGTACCCAGGCGCTTTGGAAGAAAGTGCATGCAGATTCAAGCTTTTGAAATGGTTTCGCTCCATCAATTGGGCATAGATCATTTTTCACTTGGAATTGCGAATTGACACATATATATATCAAGGACTCCACACGGCAGGGTTTCCGTAGTGTAGTGGTTATCACGTTCGCCTAACACGCGAAAGGTCCCCGGTTCGAAACCGGGCGGAAACAGCCCAAAGGACGTTCTTTTCTGTGCTTGAAAGAAAGCGTGAGGTCACTTTTTTTTTTTGAGGTTAGCGTGAGATTAATATATATCGGTCTTTCAAAACACATGATCTTGATAGCAATTTGAGAGTTTGAACTGTAAGTTTTTATGTTACTTTATTCGTTCACCAAATGTTTTTATGGAAGCCTTGCCACGTGGAACACGTGCCCCGGGTTTTAAGAAATGAATTTGACTCACCAGCTAATACATAAAGAATACTGTACAGCCTAGAAGGAAAGATCAAAGTGTAAAAGTGGTTAGTCCTGTCGCCTCCTGAGCGTTTTTGTATTATGTCACTTGGTTTTTCGTCTGAAGTGTATGTAAATAATCGTATTAAAAATCTTCTACTCCAGACGCAGGAAAACCTTTTCCGGTATAAAGCCCACCTTCCTCTAATGTTGCGCATGCCCACTGTGCCCAGCTGCTCCGCTTTCGTGCATCCCAGACTTCTGTCACCAGGTAAGGGCATCTTGGAAGCTGAGCCACAGTTGGCTGGGGCACAAAAAAACCAGGGGGTGCCAAGAGTTTTCAGGTTCGTAAGCGGGAAAGGGGTGCCGAGTCTCAGCTAAAAAATCCCCCATGGCAGAGATCCGAGTATACATGCAGCAGTTTCCACCGGTGGGGGCCCCGAGAAAGGGGAGGATGATGGGAGAAGACAAGCAACTACAAGCCCCCGTATCCAGTGCGCAGCTGGCTTCAGGAGAGAGGCCCGCGGCGCAGTGCTGCCGGGCCTCGGCGCAGAGTCCCGGCCGAGCGCCAGACGCTGACTGCCGACACCAGAATGCTCGCGATGAGGAAGACAGGCGGAGCGCTGCGAGGTAGCGAGCCCTCAACTCTCGTATCCATGACGCCTGCTGCTTCGAGGGACCCCTGGCATGCTGGGGAGTGGGGCTCTGTGGGCCATGCTGTCCCGCCCTGGCCGGCGCTGGATCCCCACCGCCCCAGAGCCTCCCGCACGGCCACGGGATGACAGAGCCGGACATGACGCCACCGTGGAAGGAAGGGAGGGGCGGAGCGTGGCGCGGTGACGTCCTCCCAAGATGGCGGAGACAGAGTGAAGAAACTGTGTTCCCCCACTTGGGTTGCTATCGGTGAGTTCCTACTTCACCCCCGGCCCGCCATTCCCGGTCTCTCCAGAACCTCGGCCATCGGAGGGCAGGCTCCTTGGAGTTCGCGCACGGGTCCGGGCGCAGGTGGAAGGCTTGGGTTAGGCAGCCCCGGGGTGGCCTGGGCCAGAACCTCTGCTGTGGCATTTCGCGGGAGTGGGAGCTGGGCAGAGGGCAGGGCGGCAGAAGCCGAGGAGGGACTGGCTTTGGTTGTCACTCTCGGATGCCGCCTGGCGTAGAGAGAGTGGGAAGGGAGAAGGTGTGGCCTCCTCGGCGCGAGTGATAGAACCTTTGACAACAAGCCGTGGCCCGGCGCATTCCCGGCTCTATGGGCAGCCACCTCGCGTTTTGGAGAAACCGCACTGGGGAAACTAACAGGTTTTGGTGACTTGAGAGCAGTTTTTAAAAACTCGTACTGTTCTGCCCCTATCAGTCCCAAGAGATCATGTCTTAGTGGCTTAAAAAATTTTTTTTGTAACATAAGTATGTCCACTGAGCTTGAAAATCTGAGGGTTCAACTGATGTGAAAGCGTCAAGTTTTGCGGTGCTTTTTTCAGGTAGTAGAAGTGTTGCCATTCACCGTCACTTAGTGATATGTCCAAAGGATTGTGTTAGTTGGTCAAGGGAACCAAAGATAGAAAGGCACCCATCCCTTCATTCTTAACCATATATGTTTGATAAGGATTTTCAAGGGGGGCTAAAATTGTTAAAGTTATGGCCTCTGTCCCTTCCCTCACTGAACGTTGATGAAACTTACGGTTACTGATTTACTATTTCTTTTTGTCTTTTAGATCAAGGGTAGAATTCCATTCTGATATCAAAATGCAGTATTCGCACCACTGTGAGCACCTTTTAGAGAGACTGAACAAACAGCGGGAAGCAGGTTTTCTTTGTGACTGCACCATAGTGATTGGGGAATTCCAGTTTAAAGCTCATAGGAATGTGCTGGCCTCCTTTAGTGAGTATTTTGGTGCGATCTACAGAAGCACTTCTGAGAATAATGTCTTTCTTGATCAGAGTCAGGTGAAGGCTGATGGATTTCAGAAACTGTTGGAGTTTATATACACAGGAACTTTAAATCTTGACAGGTAAAGTACACATTTTATTTCCAGTTATAAAAACTAGTCAGTAGTCTTCACAGCAAAAGTAGCTTTGTGTTTTTTCCCTTCATTCTCTGAACTCAAATTCTTCAACTATTTTGTGCATACAATGTTTGTTTTTATAAAGAAATCAGTATCACTGATTTAGGATGAGCAGGCAATATTTCATAAGCACAGAAACCACAGATAATAAACAGTAAGATTTCTGACACGTTCATCTACTGAAACAGAGCCTGTGATTTCACTTACGTAAACCTGAACATTAAACACAATAAATTTATTTTATTTTATTTTTGAGACGGACTCACTGTCACCCAAGCTGGAGTGCAGTGGCGCAATCTCTGCTCACTGCAACCTCTGCCTCCCAGGTTCAAGCGATTCTCCCACCTCAGCCTCCCTAGTAGCTGGGACTACAGGCATGCACTACCACACCTGGCTAATTTTTGTTTGTTTTTTTTTTTGGTAGAGACAGGGTTTTACCATGTTGGCCAGGCTGCAAACACAAAAAATTCTAAGTGACTTCCATTTTCCCATTGCTTTTTGGTCCTTGTATTCCTCTGGTCTCTCTCCCTCATTCTGACTCCTGTTATCTCTATTAACCTACCAGTACTAATACTGAAGTAAGGTCAAAGATGCTAGAATGCTTCTCTAAGATGCTTACTATTGTCACTGCATTAACAAAAAGTGGGTTCTGAGGAATCTGATATTGCAGGCACTGTGTGTCTCCCCTATATAATGAACCATATAATTAGATTAATATCAATACATTTACTGATTGTAGGGGGAAAGGTGGAGGGAATAAAAGCAAAGAGAAACTGATTAAATTACCCCTGTCTTATTTCTGCCTCTCCTATGAAAGTGGGAACATGAGTAGACTGTTCATAATCTTCTGACATAGGAAGATTATAGGCTTTGGAATTAGATCTTTCCTGTCAGTTGCTATGTCTCCTTGAGCATGATGCAATTTCTCTGGGCCTCAGTTTCCCCATCTGTCAAAATGAGATGGTAAGAACTACCTTGAGGCTAAATAAGGTTTTACTTGATCCTTATTCACTTCCCTGTGAACATTAATTTCTTTATTTTTCTTCTTTACCCTCTCCTCCCCCTTTAATTCCATGTTTCTTGGAGAAAAATTAGAAAAAAGAAAAATGAAACACCTGAAATTCTGCTACCTACTGATAACCCCTGTTAACCTTTTGATATATATTAATTCATTCTTTTCCAGATCTCGGTAGAGATGTGCATGTATACAGTAAGCAAAATCTTTCCCTCCCTTTTATATTGCAGCTTATCATGGAAAGATACTTATTTAAAAATCTAGAATCAGGGTGCTCATTAATCCTTTTGACAAGGAAACATTCTTGTGCAAGAAGTATCCAGTGTGCGGAGGGGAGGGAGAGAAAAGTAAACTTTCATGCTATTTTGGAATTATTTTTAAATTTTGGCATAATGAAATCTTCAAGTGAGTTCTTGATAAGTTGATTAAGGGAAAAGAGCGTGTGAATTTTGACTGGCCTTCAATTTAATAGTTTCCCTTTCTCAATTAACTATGAAAAAAAAAAAATCTTCATTTGAATACACAATAGAGCACTTTTCTTTGAGACTCCATGCAAAGAACCAATGTGAAGAACAGCCAGGTGTTTTGTTCAGTCTCTTTTGGTACGTATCTTTCCTGGGGACTGGGGAGCTAATTCCTCGAGTTCAGCTAGAAATGCAAGAGAGGATTTATACCAAAATAGAAAGGCTTACAACTTAGTGATTAAGAAAACAGGTAGAATAATAGAATTAGTTGGCTCAGGGGCCACATTACCTTGGTCAAATCTTCATTCTAACATTCTGTGCTCTTGGACAGTTACTTTATTTCTTTGGACTTCTGATTTTTCACTTGTATGTAAAATGAGGATTATAATAGATTTCATAGGCATGTCCTGAGGATAATCTTATAAAGCATTTTGGCATATACCTGGCAATATGTAATTAAATGACCTTCAATGACTGTTCACAAGATGTTATCTAATACTTGTAAACAAAAGCAAATCTGTTAGAAGTAAATGTTGATTGGTGCTCTTAACTGTGACTGAGATTATAGCCGTCTATGAAATAGTTTGTATGAATTACCATTTCAATGTTGAACTTTTTTTTTTTTTTGAGACAGGGTCTCTGTCGCCCAGGCTGGAGTGCAATAGCACGATCTTGGTTCACTGCAACCTCCACCTCCCAGGTTCAAGGGATTCTCCTGCCTCAGCCTCCCAAGTAGCTGGAATTACAGGCACCCACCATCATGCCCGGCTAATTTTTGTATTTTTGTAGAGATGGAGTTTTACCATGTTGGCCAGGCTGGTCTCCAACCCCTGACCTCAGGTGATTCGCCCACCTTGGCTTGCCAAAGTGCTGAGATTACAGGTGTAAGTGACTGCACCCGGCCTTGAACAATTAATATATGACTTCCTGCTAACTTATATTGGTCTTAAAGGCTACCTGACCTTGTTATCTGTTTGGCAGTTCATTTTATGGAGCAGTAAACACAATTGGAGACCAAAAGATCTTTTTTAGTGGCCCAGCCCAAAAGACAATTTTTAAAAAGCTGTTGTGACGCTAAATTAAATAAGGGGAAACATACAGGTGGCACTTGAGGCAAAGCAAGTTTAATTACCAGATGATGAGAACATGGGTAGAGATTTGTAGATACTGTAGGATACTTTTAGAGATCTTAGAGGTTCATGACACTAGTTATTTTTTATTTCAAATTTTAGTCCTTTAAAAAAAATAGTGTCACCAGCACTATATTTACATTGTCAGCTATGATTAAAACCCTTTTCTGGCTTATACTTACAACAAAGAGAGAAAGAGATCATCTTCCAAAAGATAAACCGTATTTAGGGGAAAAATCAAGTAGGAAGATTATTTGAGAGTAAGGGGTGTGTGTGTGTTTCCATTCTCAGATACTTATAACAGTCATATTTTTAGTGTTAATACCAACTCAGCTCTAATTTTACAGCTAAGAAAGTTGAACCCCCCAAAGATGCTGACTCACCCTAATTAAGTCAGCTAGTAATGCCAGAGCCAGTGCTAGATTAATCAAACAACCTTTCACCACATTGTGAACTTCTGAAGGGCAGAGACTATTTATTTATTAATATCTTAGTACCACACATGGTAGATGCTTAGTAAACATTTGACTACAATATTGAACACGGTTGCTTAAGTCTTTCTTTGTAATTCTCGTATCACAAACACTCCAGCTAATTTGGGTTGAGTATCACCAAAAAAGGTTGAGAGGGTTGCTAGAGAGAGTTTAACATTCTAAAACCTTGTTCCTCTAAGTGGGTTCCTCTTAGCAACATTGGCATCACCAGGGAGTGTATTAAGAAATGCAGGCAGGGCTGGTGGCTCACACTTTGGGAGCCCAAATTAATCCTAGCATTTTGGGAGCCCAAGGTGGGAGGATCACTTGAGGCCAGGAGTTCGAGACCAGCCTGGGCAGCATAGCGAGACCCTGCCTCTACAAAAAAAAAAAAAAAAATAGGCAGGCGTGGTAGCACATGCTTGTGGTCCCACTTACTTGGGAAGCTGAAGCAGGAGAATCACTTGAGCCGAGGAGTTCAAGGCTGCAGTAAGTTATCATTATACCAGTGCACTCCCGCTTGGGTAACAGAGGAATGCCCCATCTCAAAACAGAAAAAAGAAATGCAGAATCTCAGGCCCCATCACAGACTTACTGAATTTGAATCTATATTTAACAAGATTCCTGGGTTATTCGCACGCACAGCAAAGTTTGGCAAACATAATTAAAGTCCCTCACAGGGGAGCAGGAGAAAATAGTAGGAAACAAGTGTCATTAGACTTTGCCTCTTTTTGCCTCTTGCCAATCCAGAAAAGTTGGTTGCTATCTGAAGAGGTCTCAGGATGAATGGAAGAGGTAGTGAGTTGCCATCAGCTATTTTTGTGTTCTAGGGTTTTTTGTTTTTGTTTTTTAAAGCCAGAAAATTTAACATTTAATTTTTCTGCAGTGGTTCACTGACAGCTGTGAATAGCCATTATCTTTCATCTCTTGAAGTTCTGTAAAATTGGAGATTTTCACCTAAACATTATTCTGAATGCATTTATAAATATATTTTTCTCTTAGTGACGTCTTTTTCAGCATTCTGCTTCATTAGGTCTTTAAAATACATTGAAGTATATATGCAGCTCTGTTTCAGAAAGTTTTTCTTTGATCAGAATATTGTCATGTAGCCTTGTTTCCTTACAGTTGGAATGTTAAAGAAATTCATCAGGCTGCTGACTATCTCAAAGTGGAAGAGGTGGTCACTAAATGCAAAATAAAGATGGAAGATTTTGCTTTTATTGCTAATCCTTCTTCTACAGAGATATGTAGTATTACTGGAAACGTTGAATTGAATCAACAGACTTGTCTTCTTACTCTGCGAGATTATAATAATCGAGAGAAATCAGAAGTATCTACAGATTCAGTTCAGGCAAATCCTAAACAAGGGGCGTTAGCAAAAAAGTCATCTCAAACAAAAAAGAAGAAGAAGCCTTTCAACTCCCCGAAAACAGGGCAGAATAAAACAGTGCAATATCCCAGTGACATCTTAGAGAATGCATCTGTTGAATTATTCCTAGATGCAAATAAACTGTCCACACCTGTAGTCGAACAAGTTGCACAAATAAATGATAATTCAGAACTCGAGTTGACATCAGTTGTGGAAAATACTTTTCCAGCACAAGATATTGTGCAGACTGTTACAGTGAAACGGAAACGTGGAAAATCACAGCCAAACTGTGCTCTGAAAGAACACTCTATGTCTAATATAGCCAGTGTCAAGAGTCCTTATGAGGCAGAGAACTCTGGGGAAGAGCTGGATCAGAGGTATTCCAAGGCCAAGCCAATGTGTAACACATGTGGGAAAGTATTTTCAGAAGCCAGCAGTTTGAGAAGGCACATGAGAATACACAAAGGAGTTAAACCTTACGTCTGCCACTTATGTGGAAAGGCATTTACCCAATGTAACCAGCTGAAAACGCATGTAAGAACTCATACAGGTGAGACGGGTGTATGGGGAGATATAATTATTTTTATACTGTGACTAAAATAGTGTATTTTTATAGAGAGTACTTAGCACACACTACTTGTGATCAGAAGTTGGTATATTTTTCTATTCATCAAAGTATTTAACAGTGTTAAACTGTTGAAAATTTGTTTGTAATTGTAGCCAAGTATTTAATGGCTGTTTAAGCCCTATTGCATCAACTCCTTATACCATTTTCCCTCCAAATAAGCATGTTGATTTAGCTTACCAAGTATTTAACAGAGACAAAGACATTAAAACTGATAAAGAGAAAATGTAATTACAATTCAGGCCAATTTTCAGATATTGCCAGCACTTATTACATACTTTCTAGACTTTGTTGACTTCTGAACATGTTCATTGGAATTACACATACAGTGTTCCCTCAGCTTCTACAGTTACCTTTATTTTGCATGTCCTCTGGTTGTAAAGTATGAACACCCATTGGTACATTTAGATTCGTACTTTTTAATTTATTTATTTATTTTATTTATTTATTTATTTATTTTGAGACAGTCTCACTCTGTTGCCCAGGCTGGAGCGCAGTGGTGAGATCTCGGCTCACTGCAAGCTCCGCCTCCTGAGTTCACACCATTCTCCTGCCTCAGCCTCCCGAGTAGCTGGGACTACAGGTGCCCGTCGCCACGCTCAGCTAATTTTTTGATATTTTTAGTAGAGACTGGGTTTCACCATGTTAGCCAGGATGGTTTCGATCTCCTGACCTCATGATCTGCCTGCCTCAGCCTCCCAAAGTGCTGGGATTACAGGCGTGAGCCACCGAGCCTGGCCCTAGATTCGTAGTCTTTTAAATGCTGTATGTACTTCTCTCATTTTGAATTCAGAAACACTAATTTCTTCTAATTCTACTGGTGTTTTCAATGGTCTGGAAAATACTGTATTTGTTTTCAATTCCAGCAGTTAACATTTTCTTAATAACAAAGCTAGTACTGTTGATGAAATCTTATATGACTTATGCAACCAAAACACTATTTTCTTCTAAATATAAATTTTATTGTTCCTTTAGGTGAGAAGCCATACAAATGTGAATTGTGTGATAAAGGATTTGCTCAGAAATGTCAGCTAGTCTTCCATAGTCGCATGCATCATGGTGAAGAAAAACCCTATAAATGTGATGTATGCAACTTACAGTTTGCAACTTCTAGCAATCTCAAGATTCATGCAAGGTAAAAAACCAAATGAGTTGTTTGATCTTTTAGTCTCTTAATCACCATAGTCTTATGAATAGACTATTATATTAGAATTCAGGACAGTAGAATTTTAATTGTGGCTCCACCAAACGCTATTAACACATTCAAGGAACCACAAGGAAGCCATAGTAGTTGATAGGAAATAAGCGGGGTCGGGGGACTACTAGGAAATAAGGTCAGACTGATCCAGAAATAAGATCAGAATGGTCCGGAATGCAACTTAAGAGGATCATTCTGGCTGGTATAGGATTATAAGAGTGGAATCAGGGTAAACAGGAATCTATAGATAAAAGCCAAGCAAGGGTGATGGTGGTTCAGGCCAGGGTGGCAGCAGTGAAAGAAATAAGTAGTAGTAGATTCTGGATATATTTTAAAGTTAGAAATAACAGAATTTGCAGACAGATTGATTGTATGTGAAGTCTGGAAGAGAGTCAAAGATGATTCTGAGGTTTTGGGCCTGAGCCCCTATAAAGATGGAGTTGCCATTAACTGAGATAGAGAAGGTTTGTGGGTAGAACAGTTTAAGTGGAAGTGCAGGAATTTACGATTACAGTTATGAGCATGTTAAATTTGAGATGACTTACACTTCTGAACAGAGATGTACAATAGATAATTGGTTATCTAAGTCTGCAGTTCAGGGGTCTGGTTTAAGGTGAAGATACCAGTTTGGCAGTCATTAGCATATGACAGTATTTAAAGCTATAACCCTGGCTAAGGTCACCAAGAAGGTGAATGTGGATAGAAGAAATCAAAAGATGGTCCTGAGGCACTCTAACTTTATGGTTCTGAGAGATGGGTGAGAAACAGCAGACTTAACTAGGAAGGAGCAGCCAGTAGAGGAGGAAAACCAGGAAAGTGGGCTGCCCTGGAATCCTAAGTGAAGGAATTTATTCCGGTTGGGAGTGGTCAGTTGTAAAATTCTGTGATAGGAAGATGAAGACTGGATTTAGCGAAGTGGGAAGTCAGCAGTGCTCTTGACAAAAGCATCATTAGTAGAGGCTAGTAGAGAAGAAATGGAAGTAGAATACTTGGAGTCTCAAGGTTTTGGTAAAGGGGATCAGAGAAAGGAGGAGCAAGTAAGGTCAAGGGTGTTTGGTTTTTTGTTTGTTTTTGTTTTTGTTTTTTAATATGGGAGATATCAGTATATTTGTATACCATAATCCAATGGAGTGAGAAACATGGATGATGTGGGATTGGGGAAATTGCAGAAGTGATATCATTAAGTAGGATCTCAAGTATACATATTGGAATTGATGGATTCAGATGAACTGTCACCCTCATGTTATATGAATTTTTCTCAGTGAAATAGGAAGCAGGGGGTGTCATCTGAGAATAACAATGGGTGAGGAGATGCTGATGGTTTGAGGAGAGAGTTTTCACAAGTCAAAGAGTGACTACTCGTGGAAATAATTGCCTGCAGTATTAGGGGCCCACTGACAACCATATGAAGATCATGGAAAAACTTTTTGAATTGATCTCAGAACTAATGTTTTGATAATAAATATTTGTTTTTGGCAGTGTTTACACTGAAACAACTACTGATTTTAAATACATAGTCTTGGCCTGTTAAGATGACATGAAATAAAATGTGTAAAAAATTTCATGAATTCTTGCTATATAGACTGATCTCCAAATTGTTTTACTTACTTAACTTTATATTTATTTACTAATAGGAAGCATAGTGGAGAGAAGCCATATGTCTGTGATAGGTGTGGACAGAGATTTGCTCAAGCCAGCACACTGACCTATCATGTCCGTAGGCATACTGGAGAAAAGCCTTATGTATGTGATACCTGTGGAAAGGCATTTGCTGTCTCTAGTTCTCTTATCACTCATTCTCGAAAACATACAGGTGAGTTTGACAGGGAGAGACTGCTTAAAATAAAGTTATAAATAAAAGAAAAAGGGGACTTGGGCCTTTAGCGAAGTAGATTGGAAACTTTGTAGTTAGATATCTGTTTGTACTTCTATGAGCTGTTTATGATTTTCACATACTGGTTAAATATAAAAGCTGACTTATTTTCTAGAATAATACAAGGTGGGTGAAATAAATTATATAACTTACACATTAAAATCAGTGAGATAATTTTGATATTATATAAACTTGCATTGAGATGCGTTTTGTGACTTTAAAAATACCTTTTCAGCTTCCTGAAGGGTCATCTCCTATAGTTAGGGTTGGGGAGTGGGTTTGGGTTGAACATGGATTTTTTTAACTTCTTAGGACCTTTCCTACGTAGATATTCTGAGATTTTCAAATTAAGTAATTCAGACACAAAAGAGCAGTTTGGAAACAAACTGCTTTTTTAGGGTACATTTTTAAAAGACTTCCCTACATGCTTTTATTCTCCTTTATTAATATAGTAGATAGCAAGAATATGTGGGTTTATGAATTGACATGTTCTTAATCATATAAAAATCAAATTCCATGCCCAAATCATCTCTACTAGAAGGGACATTTTTAGGAATAAAGTTTTAATATATGAAAACTTATGAACAGTATATAATAATTACTAATATTCATTTACTTGGATCACTGAAAATACCTCTAAAGTACAATATAGAGAGGTTTTAATTTAAATAATATTTCAGAAAAGCTTTAGATTATTTGTAATTGATAAATATTATATTGGTATAGTACACCACTTCGCTATCTTTTATTTTCCATCTAGGTGAAAAACCATACATATGTGGTATTTGTGGGAAAAGTTTTATTTCCTCAGGAGAGCTCAACAAACACTTTCGGTCCCATACAGGTCTGTGTTTAGGGAGAACGTATTATTTTTTGTTCTCTCTTAATTTCTTTTTATGTAAACCTTGACTTTTAAGCCATTATGGACTATATGGTATTTAGTCATACTATACCTATAGCAATATCTTAATGTATAAATATCAACTTATTTGCTTTTTTTTTTTTTTTTTTAGTTGTTTGGAGTATAAATTAAATTTGTTAAAGAATTGTGTTGGTTTTCCAAGAAATATGCCAGATAATCAATAGTTTTTAAATGATTTGGATTAAATTGCACAGATATACCAAGAAATGAAAAGGAATAGGTAATACCAAGATAACATCAGATTTTCTTACTAAACAGTGTTTAGTATGCAAGTTTTAGGAACAAATTTTAATTTTGACATGTTTATCGTAAAAAGTAGTTTGTAAATTGTATAAAGAAAATATTGAATGTAAAAAATTTTAAAAGAAAGGAAAATGCCACTTTGAAAGAATACTGTTTTAACATTCTCTTTTTAAAAATTCCTCCTCATAATTCCTACCTAGAATAATGTGAGTACTTAATAGAGATTTAGTAACTTTTTGGTGACTTTATATTTGCACACACTTTAGTTTACACCATAAAGCAGTGAACAGTTCTTATTTCCAAAGAAGTGTAATATTGTAGCATGTTGGCAGTATTTTTAAGGATTTTCTAATTTGTCAGGTACCTGAGAGCAGAAACTATGATTATTACGCTTATTTTCCCCCAGCTTTATCTCTTAGCCAGTGTCTGGAATATAATTGACACTCACTAAATGTTTCATAGAAATACAAGAGTAGGTTTAGTTTGCAAGTACATTTCTGTTCATGAAAATGCTCAATTTTTCTTGAGATACAGATTTTTTGTATAAAGGAGTGACTAGGTTGTATAGAATCTTTCATTTCACTATACTATAACCAGGTGATTAAAGTGACAATTTGAAACCAAATTTAAACACTATAATAATTTTTGCCTTGTGTTCATAAACATTGATATTTTTGTCTTAGCTAGCAGTTTTTAAAATATTGAAATTTAAACTTTTTAATTTGTTTTTCAGGAGAGAGACCATTTATCTGTGAATTATGTGGAAATTCTTACACAGATATTAAAAATTTAAAGAAGCACAAAACAAAAGTCCATTCTGGTAAATGCTTGTTTTTTTGTTTTGTTTTTTTTAATTTGGTGCTTATATGAGTTCGATTCCTTAAAATGTTGAGATGAGATGTACATTTAAGCAGTTTAAGTTAAATGTCTATTTCAAAAACTAGGTATATACATATGAGGAAAGTAGCTTTTTTACAGTAACATTCATTTTGGATTTCTTTTCATATTGAGCCTCTTATAAAAAAACTTGAAACATTTCCTCCTTTTAAAACCTGACTTAATAACAGTCCCAAGCATGAAGGAACATATAAGCAAACTATGTGTCACTGTATCCCATACTGGAGTCTGGATAACTCAGGGTTTACTACGGTTATTATGAAAAAAAAAAAAGGGGGGGGGGTGTTACCATGAACACTAGTCCAGAAATGTTTAAGAGGAAATAGGGAAACAGGTAACCCTACATTGCTATAATATATAAAAATGGAAAGCGAGACAACAAGTCTTGGGTCTGTTGGTTAAAATGAATTCTTGAAAAAGCTTCCCTGTGCTTACTATTTTATTCTGTCATTATTAGAAATGACACTAGGCACTTCTGGTGTGTAAATACTTAAACATCATAAGTATTAAGTTAGAAACATTTGAAAACTACAGTAAGTCATTAATTTAACCACTTGTTAGATTTCTGCAAAGTGTACGTTCAGGGAATATGAAGTTAAACAAGGCATAGTTCTGGTACTCAAAGCACTTACAACCTGGTGTGCGAGAACAGAAACCTAAATAAATAATTACAAGGGAAAATTTAGGGCATAATCGACACAGAAGTACTAAAGAAGATACTGTTTTTCTGAGGTAAGTACTAGAAAAAAACTTAATTTTAGGGAATTTGAAGGATGGAGAAGAGTTCAAAGATGGAGATAGGACGAGAGAATTCCTTCCAGGCAGAGAACATTGTAAAGAGTCAATGGGCAAGAAGGAAACCTTGACTAGTTGAAGTGAAGAGTAGTTTGGGAAGAATACAGATAATTACAATTTTACAAAAGCAGTTTTGTCTACCTAACAAGGATGATGAAACCGAAATCACGTCAACACTTCAGAGTAACGGAAGCATGTTAAAGCCATTGGAAAATTTGAAGGCAAAAGTACATCTTTAGTCAGTGTGCTAATTGTTCCCTTGAGTAAAGCAGAATTTCTCACCTCTGAAAATATATGAAAGTGTCATACATACTATTCTGAACTCACAGAATAATATGAACAACTTATTAAAAACACTCAGTGAATGAATAGAGTATTTCTTATCACTAATACTTTGAGGGAGTTAAAGAAGTATGACTTGACATTTATTCTCAAAGAATTTACAGTCTGGTTGAGGATTCAAGGCATACCTGAGTAGAATGTTAAATGGTAATAAGAGAGAGAGATGCCACAAGACAGTATATGAAAATTGACAAATGTATGATTAAGCAGATAAAACAGCTCACCCTGTTTCATTCTTAATCGAGTCCATTTTTTTTTAATGGAGTTAGTGCTTGAACTTAACCTTGAGGCCCAGATTAAATTTACATAGATAGTGAGGAGGGCATATCTACAAAAGAGAAACCACTTGAGTAAAAGTATTGAGGTTGCAATGTAATTTCTGGGAATGGTAAGTACATTAGTCTCTCTTATTTTTAAAGATAATGTAGATTTTTTTCCTTCCATTGTAGGTGCAGATAAAACTCTAGACTCCAGTGTAGAGGATCATACTTTGAGTGAACAAGATTCCATACAAAAAAGTCCTTTATCAGAAACTATGGATGTGAAGCCTTCTGATATGACTTTACCATTAGCTCTTCCACTTGGGACTGAGGACCATCACATGCTTCTGCCTGTCACGGATACTCAGTCTCCTACATCAGATACATTGTTGAGGTCAACTGTGAATGGGTATTCAGAACCACAATTAATTTTTTTACAACAATTATACTGACTTTGTGAGGAATATGGAATTGCTAAGATGTCATTGGTAGCAAACATCTCTGGTAAGGTGCATATATTCATACTAAATTCCCATTCATTTGAGTTGTGACCATTATTTTTCATTCACTGAAGTAAAAGCACCTGATGCTGCATCACAACTGCAATGTTTGTTTTTATTTTTGGCTTTTATGTCTATACTCCACACAGCTTTTTAAGGAATGAATTATGTAGCACTATTTTGGGTGGATGTGTTTTATTTTCTTTTAAAGCTGCCTTAATTCCATTTTTATTTTGCATTTTAGAATTGCCCTTCATTTACTAAATCAGCCAGTTAATGTGATTCAGTTTTGACCTGTGGGACTTTAAAATTTTCCTGCCCTCAGAATTTAAGCAAAATCCATGATAGTATCAGCCCAAGAGTGTGTTACTATTTGTCAGCCCCACGGATCAATACATAAACTATGGAGAAAAAGTAAAATTTCATTATTTCCGCTCGTGAAAATTTAGGTGCTGAATAAGAATTGTGCTATTTCTCTATTAATATATTCTGTTAGAAATAACTTTTCTAATGAAACAACAAATGTTTCTCAAAATCTAGAAAAGTACATATAAATTTTTGTTCATTTAGAACTCAGTATTCTGGAGAAAACCAATGGTCAGTACTTTCGGTTTGAGTTATCTGAGATTCTATTTTCAAAATGAATTTTAAGTAGATATTTGGTGTTTTTATCTTGTCAAAGACAGTTTCAGAATTTGATTCAGTTTATGTTTTATTCAGTTTCTAAAATATTGGAGATGAGGAAAATGTACTTGAGTTTTGAAATATTTTGGTAAGCCTCTTATTATGCCTGTTATGCACTTTTAAAATAAATATTAAATTCCAGAAGGAATTTTCTAGATATAAACTTAATGCATACTAGAAATCACTCGGCTTCTAAATTTGGTACATTATATTGCATAAAGAGTTAAGAAATTAACCTCAATTATAAGTAAACATTTTGAGTTAGCAGAAAGCCAATTTTAAATATTTTATATTTGAGTTTTCTATAAGTTTGGGGTTTGTTAATTTTATAAATTAAACGACAACTTTTGGTTGTGGTTGTAGTTTCACAATGGTACTTCTCCTTCCAATCGAATGTAGAAAATTTGTTATTATCCTGATATTTGTACCACTCATCCCCATGCCACTTTTCCCACATATTAATTTATTTCACTGCCTGATCTTTGGATATGAAATTATCAGTTCCATGAAGTCAATTTTTATAATGCCGATCAAACAGCATGGTGACATTCTTTCTTATTCTTTTTTTCCCCCCCACAAGGCTATTTTTCAGTGTGAGATGACATCATTTATTATTTCTGCCATGCTGTGACTTTTGTTTTCTGCTTTTAAACTACACCTGTAGTACAGTTAATATGGTTTTTATTGGTGTTGATTTCTTTAATTCATTAATTTTCTCTACTTGGGACCCAAGTCACAGGAACCAATTAGAAGACATAATAAAAATACTTAATGCTTGTAATCTGTAGAGATCTTCACCATTTCACAGCACACACATTATTTTCATAATAAATTGCCACTGGTGGGACATGGGACTGACTTATTTGAATAGAGTTTGAAATACCACCTTTGTACGATACAAACTTAATATTTGATTATTTTATCTAAGAAATTTATGCATGTGTATTAAGTTAAAATAGTAGGTTTAAATAAAATTCATAAAGCATTAGAATGTTCACCTAATCTCTTCTGGGTTAAATGTGATAGGACTGTATTGGAATGTGAAGAAATTAAAGAAAATTAAAAGACTCAGCCTCTTTAGGAAGTTTGCTAAAATGGGGAGGTTATGTTTAATTTATTTATATCTTCATTAATCCAAGCATCTAATGAACAAAAAACTGCTACAGTGATGTCATAATTCTATAAGGGCAATAGTTGCCAAATTTCCTCTGGTATAATTAGCATTTTTCTTTTGCATAGATTAGCCTTCAAATTTATTATTTTTAGTATTATTTGATATGATTGAAGTGGCTAAGATTGATTGAGCTTTTCTTGATCACATTTTCTGCTTCTTAGCTAAAGTAATTTTATTTAAATTGACATGGCTTGAATTGTCATCATTTTCTGCTCTTCCAGAATGATGTGCAGAGAAAACTTGAAGACAGTATCTCTTCTTTGGCATTCTTCTCTTAATGCTATGCTATTATTTATCATAATATGCATATATTTAGTTGTATCTGTTATCATTCTGACACTCATAACTACCATTTTAAGTCCAACTTTATATTTGTTACAATGCAGAGTTTTGGGAAAGGTCTATTAGTAATTATTTAAGTATTACATATTTTTATGGAAGTCTTTAGAAGGTGAATATCTTACTGAAAAACTGTTTTCTAAATGAATTTAATTTTGTTTTGTATTTGTATCAGATCATGCCTACTGTATGTTAGATTTTAGACTGTTTTAAAAGAAACCCTAGATTATATAAAATTTTTTTTGCTGTTTTTAAATGGCATTTGTTTTATGTTTAATTTCACAGGATGATTTTGATAGACATATTTTCTAGAAGACCTTTTTTGAAAGGTAATGGTTCTATAAGTTCCATTCCAATAGTAGTTTATTTCTGTGTTTCAGTCCTACAGAAATTGTGCGAGTGAGTAGTTGAAATAATGTACATGTACCAGTTTTTTTAAGTATTCTAAATAGTTCTAACATTTAATGCATATCAGAAACATGTTTAAGAAACACCAATAGGCCGGGCGCGGTGGCTCAAGCCTGTAATCCCAGCACTTTGGGAGGCCGAGGCGGGTGGATCACGAGGTCAGGAGATCGAGACCATCCTGGCTAACATGGTGAAACCCCGTCTCTACTAAAAATACAAAAAACTAGCCGGGCGTGGTGGCGGGCGCCTGTAGTCCCAGCTACTCGGAGGCTGAGGCAGGAGAATGGCGTGAACCTGGGAGGCGGAGCTTGCAGTGAGCCGAGATCGCGCCACTGCACTCCAGCCTGGGTGACACAGCGCGAGACTCCGTCTCAAAAAAAAAAAAAAAAAAAAAAAAAAAAAAACACCAATATCCAGGCCCACCCCACTTATTGAATCAGACAGTTCCCGGGGCATATATATGCTGGAGAAGCCCCATAGGTGATTTTAATGTATACCAAACATGTAGAGTCTCACTCTGTTGCCCAGGCTGGAGTGCAGTGGCGTGATGTCAGCTAACTGTAGCCTCCGCCTCCTGGGTTCAAGCAATTCTGCCTCAGCCTCCTGAGTAGCTGGTACTACAGGCACGTGCCACCACACCTGGCTAATTTTTGTTAGAGATAGGGTTTCACTCTATTGGCCAGGCTGGTCTCGAACTTCTGACCTCAGGTGATCTGCCCACTTCGGCCTCCCAAAGTGCTGGGATTATAGGCGTGAGCCACTGCGCCCAACCATGAACTACTATCTTAAACATTTCTTGATGTTCTACCTTTGGGGGGGAAGCAATTTAAAATGATGCTCTTGAATATAATTTTCAATATTTTACCTAGATATGAGTACCTAGAACTTTTTTTTAATATATACTTTAAGTTCTAGGGTACATGTGCACAACGTGCAGGTTTGTTACATATGTATACCTGTGCCATGTTGCTGTGCTGCACCCATTAACTCATCATTTACATTAGGTATTCCTCCTAATGCTATCCCTCCCTCTTTCCCCTGAGTTCCTAGAACTTTAAATACCATCAAGTAAAATTCTTTAAATTCTACATTTTTACTTATTATTTATGGGCAATATTGATACGTAGTTATTACAGCATTAATTTTTTGAGATAATAATATAGTCTGCTCTTCTGTCCTCTGCAACTCGTGCTTCCGTTCATTCAAGAGGTTTGCTGTACAGAGACTCCTTGACTTATGGGTTTATCATAAGTCAAGGAGTATACTGAATATGTATTAGTTTCACACATTGTAAAGTCAAGAAATCATAAGTCGGGGACCATCTGTATTTGTTTAAGAAATTAGATAATTACCATGTAAATACAGTATTTGATTTCAAGAAAAATTTACTAAAATAAACACTATGGATGTGAACATCCACATATTTGGATAACAGTATCTGGCCAGTGTTTCAAATGCTGGGAAAAAATTCAAATCAGAATGCATAAAGCTGCAAAGATGATAAACTACTCTTAAGTTTACAGTCAAATGGAGATGCCAAGCATAAATATAACTTGCAATAAGACAAGCCAGGATGTTGAGTATTATAGTAGGGGAAGGCAAGAAAGGAAATGCTAAGCAGTCATCAGGAGTAGAATGGACAGAGAAACGGCCATTGTTTACCTGGATAGGCAAACAAGGAGATGGCTAATGGAAGAATTTGCACATAGCTGATGAAGAGTGAACTAGGCAGAATGGAGAGAAAGTGTTAAGTGGAGAGGAGATAGAAGTCAGAGGCATCTCCAGTACTACACCTACACCATCTTGAAATAGTCCTCTACCCATAGTCTGTGCTGAAGGAGTGAGATTAGATAGCCAGGTTTGTAACCCATGTTCTCACATGCCAACCACAGTTGCGTGCTGGAGGGCGGGGATTAGACAGCCACTTATGTAACACATGATTCCATACTTGTGACCACAGCAACAAAACACTTCACCAGGGAAAAACAATTCATAGGCCAGACTGAGCTGTTAAGATTCTTTCTGACAAGTTTGAGCTATGAAATTCTGAAACAATCAGGTAATGATATACCTATAAATGAAAAGATCATTTCAGAACTGGCCTCGAAGTCAGTGAAGCAAGCTAAAGTCTAAAGGAAATGATGAGTAAGCAGAGAAACCTGATCTATAGAGCAAAACTAGGGAATGAAACAGGTTTGCTGAGCCAAGAGACTGCCCTAAAGAGATCAGAAGAGTGGCCTTACTTTCTGGCTTTGCAGTCCTACTGAGGTGATGCAGCCATGATTCATTTTCTGCCCCTGGATGCCATTGATTGTGGCTGTTGTATCCTTATGTTAAATCCCCTTTTTCTTAAACAGGCTGAGTCACTCTCTTTTCCTTGTAATCAGGCAGCCCCAAATTGAACACCTAAGCTTTGATCCTTGGTGATTGAGAAGATAGTGATACCACTGACATCAAGATAAGTCAAGGAGCATGTTTAGAGAAGGGAAGCAATTTTGATGTACCGAATTTGATTGGTGGTGAGATATGCATGAAATTTCTGGTAGTGTTTGGAAATGGGGCCTGAACCAGGACAAATTAAAGCTAGAGATACAGATCTTGCAGCTAATAAGTTATAGAAATGATTAAGGCAGCCCTGGGAGATGGTATCGGAGAAAAAAAGATGAGGACAGAATTTGGGGGAAAATTCATTTAAAGGATGAGCATAGACGGAAAAGAAGATGGAAAGTGATAACAGAAAGGAAGAAAACCAAGGTGGCACACATTTTTCAGAGGCAAAAGTGGCTTTGTAACAGTCACATGGTACAGAGAAGTAGGATGTAAATCTGAGACAACATTGGGTTGGATAATTGGAGCATGATGATCCTTTAGAAGGCAGGTACAGTATAACACTGGGAGCAGAAACCAGATGGATATGGTTGTAGTAGATATTAAGAAGACATAATAAATAAGTAATACTATAGAAAAGTTTGAAAAGGACAGCATTTAAGACAAATCATCGTTATTTTCCCAAATATGTGAAAAGCACATACTGCTTTATTTTTTGCTTTCAAATTTGAAACATTGTAAAATGATGAGTATAATATGATCTGCAACAGTGTAAGATGGAGCAGTCTTTGAGCTGGGTCTTAAAGGATGATTGCTAAGAGAAAAATGAAACAATACATACAATATGGTTGCAGATTTGCTCTTTATAATTTAGATGTGCAGAGGAAATGAGAGTTTTCCTATGGAACTTATATGTCCTTCCTCTTGAGCCCATACCCAGTGGTGAGTCTGGAAAAAATTAACTTTTACTTTTAGCCAGTTTAAAACCTAGTCTGATATAAAGGGGATAGAATTTATAATATCTTAAGGGATTTACAGGTAATGCTTAATCTTTTGGAGAAATGCTGTTTTACAAGATGGTGGCCATCAGGATAGACAGAGTCTTTCTTGAGCCCTTCCATTCTCTGGGCATTATACTGACCTCTGTTGCGGCAGGCAGCAGCTTATAAAATAAGACACCGAGTCTTTCCTAGTCTAGTCAGAGCCCAGTTGTCCTTTGCTGAACTGACTTCATCTCAGTTCTCTTGGATTTGGAAAACTCTCTGGGGCCCTGTCAACTGCAGCTCTGCCTCAGGCAGCAGTCTAGGTCAGATTATAGGTTTACCACCTGCACCCCACTGTGAGCTCAAGGTAAGCCTACTTGCTTCCCCTTCAGCCATCTTCTGAATCTCCCTTTGGGGGAATATGGGAACTTGTGGGTCCCTTCTGTAGCACACAGGAAGAGACCGTAGCCTGGGAAATCAAACTCTTTCCAGAATCTAGTAGACTCCCTAGTACCCAGCATGTGAGGAATACTACAAAGCAATGAAAAGTGAACAGACTACTGCTACATTAAACAACATAAATGAATCATACTAATATAATGTTGAACAAAAGAAGTCAGACACAAAAAGAGTGTATACTGTATGCTTCCATTTATATAAAGGTCAAGAATAGGCAAAACTATTCTTTGGTATTAGAAATCAGGATAGTGGTTATCTATGAGAGGAGGGTGGGAGAAGCTAGCAGCACTGACTTGGGAAAGGGGTATGTATATGTTTATATATATTTGCCTGTATTTGTGAAATTGTTATTAATACCTGTCTGTAACACGTAAATAGGATAGGTAGAATACTTTTTCAACTTCTGAACTTTGAAACCCTTTGAAAGTCACTGGTAATTTGCTACCACAAACCTTTTTATTAATACTACTTAATAACTTTCAGTTAGATACCTATAATGACCTTTACTTGCATGCTATTTCACTACTTGGTTATATTTTCATTATAAAAAGCAATTTAGTCTAGTTCCTTGGCCTCTTTCTCCAGGGTTAAAACTTTAGTTTATATTGTAAAATTTCTTTTAAAAAATTACCCTACTCAGTTTTTCACAATAGACAGTTATACGAAGTTATTATCTTTTACACATTTGAAAAAAGTAACCTGTTTTAATTTATAAAAGAAAACAAATAGGCTATAGAATATTAACCTCTGTGAAATAATAAGACAAATGTATGAAAATTATTTTAGAGCTACTTTTTCATGGCTGCTGACCTACTGGAACAAGAGCAAAACCTGCATTAGATGAATGGTCATAAGATTCTCCAGAAGTTGATGTCCAATAATAATGCTTTTTAAGACCATTGGAGACTTCTGCAAGATATACGCGTCCATCTACCACAAATGGCTCCACATCTGTATTGTCTGGTTTTAGACGACCCATTTGAATTAAGTCTGAATATGCCTAGGATTTTTAAGAAAAGAAAAACTGTATCATTAAGAAAAAATGTATTCAATTTACAGTGCTTAAAGAAATTTAAATATTCAAATTAGCTGTGCTAATTTGTAGTTTAAAATAAAATATTCTGAATAACATTGCAGAATTTTAATATTTTCCAGGTATTGTAGGTAGATTTTTATTCATTTAATTACACAGAATGAAATTATAATGTTGCAAAACTTATTTCTAACTTTTAATGTATTAGACATGTTTTGTCATTTTGTGACTCCTAGAGTTAATTTTCTGTACTACCAATTTTGTGGACCAAAGCTCTTACGGTCAAAATTTTCAAGTCCCACAGATGTTCATCAATTGGAATAGGTAGGGGGGCTGGGTAGGAGGGCTGTTGTATACATTCTCAAAAATCTGCTGATAGCTAGTTAGTTACCCATTTTTCAGAAAAATTAAGGGAATCCCAGATTTGGACATCCAATTATATGGAGTTCATGACCCCCCTGAATCTAATCTACAGATTTAGGCTAAGAGAGACAATTCCATAGAATTGGATGCTGACCTATTATTTCTTAATTGTAGAATTTTTTTATATATATATATATATATATATATATTTTTTTTTTTTTTTTTTGTGACAGAGTCTCGGTCTGTCGCCAAGCTGGAGTACAGTGGCACGATCTCGGCTCACTGCAACCTCTGTCTCCTGGGTTCAGGCAATTCTCCTGCCTCAGCCTCCCGAGTAGCTGGGACTACAGGCCCACGCACCACCACAGCCAGCTAATTTTTGTACTTTTAGTAGAGATAGGGTTTCACCATGTTGGCCAGGATGGTCTCAATCTCTTGGCCTGGTGATCCCCCTGCCTTGGCCTCTCAAAGTGCTGGGATTACAGGCATGAGCCACGATCCTTAGTATCTATGTAACAGAGTCATACAAACATGTTGAACTGGTTTGTCAGTAAGGTTGGCATTATGGAGAAAGATGGAAATTTAAACATTAAAAGATTTAAAAGTCAAGTTGGTTTTTGCTTTAGCTTGTCATTCATCATTAGTTCCAGTTCCAAACTCAACTTATTCAGCTTCTGGTGTGTAGAACCTAAAGGATTACGGATGTTTTTCCAAAATTAAGGGTTGGTTTTTTGGGGAGGGTGGTTTAGACAATACTGTATGTTTTATTACTCTTTTTAGTGGTGGAATTTTGGTTAGTCCTTTTGCAAATTTTGAGAATTTTAACATCTACGTTTTCCCCTCATTCTTTCCAAATGAAAACTGTTACCATTATTTCTGCTTTGAAATTAGTATCAAAGGCTATCTGTATTTATGTGAGCAACATGCCAAATATTTTGATAGCTTGTACTCTATCTCTCCCATTCCATATTTTGGTATAATTATTAGGGAGCAGGTCAGAAATTTTGCTACATCTGATCAATAATTATGATTTTTTTTAACCTTAGAGGAATTCGAACTGTGTCATTCAGTGATGTGTAATACTAATACATAGTTTTAATGTCTTTTGTTATTTCAACCACCAAACTCTCTAGTAGCTAATTTTAGGACTTATGTTAATTATCAAAACTGCAGTGTCTCACTGTGTAACCATTTCTGAGGCACCTGTAAATAATATCTGATGTTACAGAGATGATCCCAGAAAAAGCCTTCAGTGAAGGAAAAAACTTAAAACTTACTACACACGTAGCCTCATCAAATTTGTTTCCCCAAATGTAGATATGAGAGAATGTGAGATTTGTTTTCATTGATTGTGAAAGTGCAACAAGTCCTTCTCCCTCTATGTTGTTGCTGACTACTGACAACCTGAAACCAATAGTTCCACAAGGAAAGAATACAAAAATTAGCAACATTTATTACAAACATTTTCTTGTGTAGTCTTAGCATTATTCCTCAGTATGTTGTAATGTAGTGGTAGAAATACCATTTAATTCCTAAAATCCAAGAAACTTAGTTTTCTAATTAGATCCTTAGGTACTTAGTAGAACTAACTACATTTTGAAAGTCTTCTGTTTTATATTTTTCAGTAAATGTTTGGGTGGATAGCAGATATATTTTTCTGGATAAATGCATCCAAGTATTTTATTCTTTAGTTAATTTTTATTTTTAAAAGTCTTGATCATATTGAATGCTTCTGATTTTTCTATTAGAATTCAGGATAAATAATATAAGCAATACAAATTTTCTCATTAATTTGAAAGAATCATTAGTAGAACCAGTCTAATTGTAAGACAGTACATTTGAAAAATAGAAATTTAAATGTTTACTGTAACTTAATACAATGTCAGTTTAGAAGCTGAGTTTTCATATTTCATCATCATCTTAAGAGTTAAGGGGTTTCAGGTTAGTATTTAAAAATTTGCTTTTTTGTTATTTTGATTAAATATAAAACCATACTAACGCTTTAAGACTCCTGTTGTGTGAAGTAAGAGTTTCACTGAGATAGTTTGCACCTGCATTTTCTATTCTGTTAAAGGAAAGATCTATTACTTCCAGGGTAGTGTTGCTTTTCAGTACATCAGCCAAATACACCATTCCATCATGAGTTATTTTGTTGCTGGGAAAGGAAAAATAGTTATATTTGAAAATATGAAATAGTGTTTTCATTCATAGTGAGAAGATGCTTGAAAACTTAAACAGTACTTTGTGTTTTAGTAAAGGTTTATTTTAATCACTTGATTTCCAAGAAAGTTAATGAAAATTCACCATAAAATATTGCTTTCATTCTTGTTTACACAACTAAATTGCTCATTTATGTTACTAAAAGACAGCAGTATTAAATATTAAAGCTTAGGACAAAGGGTTGACAATTGGTTGCAGTTTCTAATCATTGGAAATAATGTCTAACAAAGTATCCCAATTACCATGAATATTTATATATAGATTATTCCCATGATTTAACTTTGAATTATTAATGTGTAAATTATCACTTACCAGCTGACATCAAGGTAGCGCAGGCTACTGTTCAGATACAGTGCATCACATAACTGTTGTATACCACTGTTTTTTATATCATGCTTACACATGTGTAGTACAACAAGACAGTGATTTTCTTTCAACATGCGGCCTATATGGACTGTGGACTCTTCCTAAAAGTGGATAAAATCTTATTTCTAAAATATAATTTTGAAGTAGTACATGTTTATCAGACATATGCTGTTATTTAAATTAGCTTTTAAAAAAGATTATATTGGTTAAAACTGTTAGTCTACAATTTGCATTTGTTTAGTCTATCTTAAAAAAATTACTTTGCCACAAATGATATTTTTTACCTTCTCAGAAGGTAAAATATAGTCACTATATTTTACAAGTGCCTGCTACCTAAGTGATGTAAAAGATGCTGGTTAATTTGGTTTTTTAAAGGAACAATAATCAGTCATTTCTAAAGGAAAAAAAAATGGTCCCATCATGTATTGAGCATGTAATCCATCTTTCAAATCTCTAAACCTTTCTTGTACCTTCCTTATGTTCCTGAACTTTGCTCTTGATCTCTACTCTTGACGGTTTTCAGACAAAATACGAAGACATTTCCCAATCTTTATTTTATATTAAGAATACATTCATTAACCCTGTGATATATCTGATCCTTCCCTTTTATATTCATCTCAAATTCCTAAGAGGTTTTATTCTTATATTCTGATCATCAGAAGACCTTTTTTTAAGTTCCACAATCTTGCTGCTTCTAGCCAAAAGATACATAGCATCAGTGAAGATTTGAATACCAGGCATTTTAAGTTTTTAACAAAATCAAAGCATATTTTCAAATGAATAGCCCAAAGTATTTTGTGACAAGAAGTACTCTTGCATGATTGCTGTATAACATAATAAGTTTTTTAGTCACTGGAAATGCTGATGATGAACATAGATAACTATATGTGTTCTTGTTATATATAAAGGTACTTTGAAAAAAACTTTAAATGAAACCACATAGCAATAGCAGAAAGTACATAAGCTTTATAAAAATCAAATCTGTCAGATACCAGCTTTACCTTTTACTGGCTATATGACTTTGGGCAAATATTTTCATCCAGCTGAGTCTCAATTTTCATTTTAGTAAAGTAGCTGAAATTATGCTTCCCTCACAGAAATAAGTTAACTGAAAAAAGGTACCTAGCACAAAATAAGTGTTCCATAGGCAGACTACAAACCATTTATTATTGTTCAGTATTCTGTAATTCTGTATTTGCTGAAATTGCTTTGACACTGAAAAGATATACCCTAAGGAATGTTATGTGGACTAGTATCTTCAAAAATGCAAGCCAGCCATGCTAAAGGGATGCTGTGTAGTCTAGGAACGTAAAAAAATGCAAACCAATCACACTTAGGGGGTTCCACTATTGCTCTACCTAGTGCCAGGCACAGAAGACAAACTTATTATGTTTTTGTGTTTGGGCCTTGATTGCAGTTCTAGGCTACAAAGCTTGAAAGCAGGGGTATCCTAATTAAGGGAGGAACTATTGTCAGAAATAGTAAAGGGTTTTAGCCCCATTCACCGAGTTTGTGACTTGATTTGTCTAGCGTGGCACCTGGCATCAGTATTTTTCAAGCTCCCCGGATAATGCCAATGAGTGTTAAAGGTGAAGTCCAACATCTTAATAGCTTTTTGTTATCCCATTCCTCCATGGTAATAAAACAGTAAAACCCATAAATGGAATTAATTTGCAGGTTTGTATTTGGGAACAGCAATTTAAGAGCAGAATTGTAGCCTTGGGGATAGAGAAGGTAGTGGCTGTCCTGGAGAAGAACAAAACAGGCTAGCACCTAGCTGGCTGCCAGAAACACCAGGCTGAGAGCAACAAGGGGGCCTGGGCTTTTAATAATAAGCATCCTCAGGTGGATTTAGGAATGACACCACTCAACATATTTTAAAAAGGGATCATGCTTATAATGTGATCTCCTATATATAAACATATTTCTGCACAGATACAATCCAGAAATTTTTTATTTAGCCTTCAAATCTCCTGTCATATCCTCAATCTGAGAACCTATCACACTCACCTCCCCTGCTTTGATTTTGATTACCCTCCTTATGTCCCCATGGCACCCCAAGCATATCACTCTCCAGACTTGTCAAGCTCCTTCCACCTAGATGGAAAACTCACTGAAGACAAGTGCTATGTAATTTATTTGACTTTAATACCTGTAGCACCTCGCTAGCATTGTGTCTGGTTTAAGGTTGCATTCAAATATTCATGGTGTGAATGAATCATGAGTGAAGCAATTCACTGCATGCCTATTTTGAGCTGTATTTTGCTAGCCTTTTAAATATTTTAAAAATAGGAATCTGTTTGAAGATTCTGAGGGTCTTGTTGAATAGATTGGATTTATGTACATGAAACAAGGTGATGTAAAACTGCAAAAATTCTGGTACTGAAAAGTGCAAAGATAACTCAAAGGGAGATATCTGTGTAGGCAAAGAATGTAAAATACACTTCTGAATATGAGAATACTACTTTAAAAATATCATTAATTCTCAGTTATTCATACTGAGGGGGAACAATGAAGTAGATAATTTTAAATTATCTAAAGTGCTTTGATCATTTAAAAAGTCCAGAGTTTGGCTGGGCATGGTAGCTGATGCCTGTAATCCCAGCACTTTGGGAGGCCAAGGCAGGTAGATAGCTTAAGCTCAGGAGTTCAAGACCAGCCTGGACACCATGACAAAACCCTGTCTCTACCAAAAATACAAAAAAATTAGCTGGGCATGGTGGTGCATACCTGTGATCCCAGCTACTCAGGAGGCTGAGGTGGGAGGATCATTTGAGGCCAGAAGGTGGAGGCTGCCATGAGCCAAGATCATGCCACCGCACTCCAGCCTGGGTGACAGAGTGAGACCTCATCTCAAAAAAAAAAAAAAAGTTCAAAATTGAAACATTGACATTGATTGATTGGTTGAGATGAAGATGAAGTCTTGCTCCATTGCCCAGGCTGGAGTGCAGTGGTGAGATCTCAGCTCACTGCAACCTCTGCTTCCTGGGTTCAAGCAATTCTCCAGCCTCAGCCTCCCAAGTAGCTGGGATTACAGGCGCCTGCCACCATGCCTGGCTAATTTTTGTATTTTTAGTAGAGACTGGGCTTTGCCATGTTAGCCAGGCTGGTCTCAAACCGCCTGCCTTGGCCTCCCAAAGTGCTGGGATTACAGGTGTGAGCCACCGTGCCCGGCCAAACATTACATTTTAAACACTGAACTTTATAAAGTGCTTTGACCATTTACTTTTCCTAATAGTTAGATATACGTTTTTGTTTATACCAATAATAATGTGAGTTCTTATTCTCTAGCTGTTTACAAGTGATAGGAGAAGAAAGCCACCCAGAAGGAGCAAGAAGTCATGAAAGTAGGAAACACGTTTTTACTCATCTTTCTGTCTCCAGCAAGCAGCTTATCTATAGATAGGATCAAGTCCAAACTTTCCAGACTGCTTTTCACACACATTTTGCTTTTATTACTCATGATTTCAAAGGCATAATGGTTCAGCCACATCAATGTAACAAACAGTTCACACTGGGCTCTTATAATGTGGCCTTTAAAATCTTCACTATTAGGAGAATGGTGTGAACCCAGGAGGCAGAGCTTGCAGTGAGACGAGATCGTGCCAGCCTAGGCAACAGAGTGAGACTCCGTCTCAAAAAAAAAAAAAAAAAAAAACCACTTCATTATTTATGCTTTCATCTTGACCACTTTGACCCTCGCAGGTTTACTCACTAAGAACTTGAGTTTCAAGAGAAAAGATGACATGTTTGCTGCTTAAGTAAGCAATATCTAAAAGCATATTTAGTTATAAACGTCTTACCAAGAATTGATATAATTTTCCTTTAAATAAACATTTTTATAAATAGTAGTTTACAAGATATAGTACACACATGTCTAAAAATAGTGTATTCATGTACCTTGACATAAACTTGTAGTAGTACCTTAGTTTCATTCATGTTGTTATATTAACTACCATCACTTTGAATACATACCTGTTCACCATACAGTATAGGTCGGTTTAGGTTTATTGCCTTAATTGCTTGGTTTCGAGTTAGTACTGTAGCAAATGCTATCACACTTTGCATTCCCTAAAAACAGGTAAATTCATTAAGGAAACTGACAAAGTATATAATAATCTCGCTACATAAATATTTCAAGATCAGCTATCTGCATTCTGATAAAATTATTTTTAAAATTTAAGCATTCCTTGCACTTTGAATTGTAAGTTGATCAAATTCAAAAATGAATTGTTACTGTATTCTTTTCTCCTGGCCCTAAAATCTAACTAAAACATGGCATGGGGAGTTTCTTAATGTTTTAGTGTCCATTTCCTGGGTGTTTCCCTCTAGGTTTTTATTCCTCACCCCTCAAGCTTCTATGTGGATCCCAGCTAGAGCTCATACTACTTATGCAACACATATCATTGTACAAGCACTCTTATATTCATACTAGTACTTTAAGTGTGTGTGGTGGGAAAAGGTTACCAACCACATTTTTCACAGATCCCATAGGCTTCTCTTGCTCTATCTGACTGAAAGGGCCTAGTCCTCCCCCATATCTGTGATGGACACCACCATGTACACCCAGCTGGTATGCCGGAAACCATGGTCTTCCTCTCACTCTGCCATTCCTCTTAACCTTCCCATCCAGTTGATCACTAAGTCTTACAGATTCTGCTGCCTCCAAAAGACATATCAAATTAGTCTGTTCCTGTCCATCTCTGTGGCCACCACCCCAGCCCAAGTCCTCCTCACTTCTCACCTGGACTTCTAAGTGGTCAGATGGCTTCTTCTTGCCACCCTTTAATTCTCCACAGAGAAACCAGTAATCTAAAACTGCCAGATCATTACCCCTAAAAAATTATTTAAAAATATAAAAGAGCATTATAAGAGCCCAGTGTGAACTGTTTGTTACATTGATGTGGCTGAACCATTACACCTTTGAAATCATGAGTAATAAAAGCAAAATTGTATCTCTGGAAAAGTAAGAATCAAAGTAAGAAAGGAAGTTGGGGCCAGGCACGGTGGCTCACACCTGTAATCCCAGCACTTTGGGAGGCTGAGGCAGGTGGATCACCTGAGGTCAAGAGTTCGAGGCCAGCCTAGCCAACATCATGAAACCCCATCTCTACTAAAAATACAAAAAAAAAATTAGCCAGGTGTGGTGGTAGGCACCTGTAATCCCAGCTACTCAGGAGGCTGAGGCAGGAGAATCGCTTGAACCTGGGAGGTGGAGGTTGCAGTGAGCCGAGATCATGTCATTGCACTCCAGCCTGGGCGACAAGAGTGAGACTCTGTCTCCAAAAATAAAATAAAAAATCCTTCAGAATCTATTAAACCAGAGAGCCCCCTGGCCCATCTTATTTTCATGTCACATTGATTAACCTGAGGCTATACAACAGGTTCCCAAGAGTAGGCCTGAAGATTTGAAAACATGTCAGAGAAAGTGAAGCCCGGAATTTGAAGACATGCAAAAAAACACATTTCTCATTATCAGGCCAGGTGAAGGTTGAAAGCAACTTTTATATTTTTTAATAATTTTTAGAGACAGGGTCTTACCATGTTGCCCATGCTGCAGTACAGTGGATGTTCACAGGCACGATTGTAGTGCACTGTAACCTCAAACTCCTGGGCTCAAGAGATTCTCCCACCTCAGCCTCTTGAATAGCTGGGACTACAGGTACATGTCATGTCACCCAGCTTCAGAGCAGCTTTTAGCATCATTTTAAGTTTTTGTGCTACAATGTAAGTAACTACTAAAAAGTATTTTATTTTTGTTTTGAGGCAGTCTCACTCTGTTGCCCGGGGGCTGGAGTACAGTGACATGATCTCAGCTCACTGCAGCTTCTGCCTTCTGGTTCAAGCGATTCTTCTGCCTCAGCCTCCTGAGTAACTGGGATTACAGGCTCCCGCCACCAAGCCCTGACTAATTTTTGTATTTTTAGTAGAGACGAGGTTTCACAATGTTGGCCAGGCTGGTCTTGTACTCCTGACCTCAGGTGATCCACCTGCCTCGGCCTCCCAAAGTGCTGGGATTATAGGTGTGAGCCACTGCACCGAGCTTAACATGTATTTTCAAAAGTAAAAAAATTATATGAATAAAGTAATATTTGTTTAATTAAAGTGAACATGATCTTTTTCTAAAAATTCCATACAGTTTAAGATGAGCTATGTAGATGGAAGTTTAGGAATATTTTTATTAAGTATTTTTCTGTTATTTACTATAGTCTGATTTTATTAATCTGCACTATTATGTCTAGGGGAAAAATACCTTTTCTCTGATATTAGACATAAGAAGCAAAATAAGTCATTGATAAGACTCTCATTTAGCTTATCTGGATGATTTTCTCATAACCATTCTACTCACCAGGTCACAGTCACCCAGATCTAATTTCTCTAACGATGAATTAATTTGCAGCATTGCAGCAAAAAACATTCCACCTTTATTTTCAATTTTGTTTCCAGTCATTCTTAGGTATTTCAGAGTCTGATTCTTCTGAAAAGGAAAAAAAAAATTTTATTTAAAAATTTTTAATCCACAGAATTCTATACATTACATGAATTAGGATAGACTATTACTATTTGCAGCCTCCAGTTTTCATGGAGACAGACCAGGGTATATTCCTTTTTTTTTTTTTTTTTTTGCCCAAGCTGGAGTGCAGTGGTGCGATCTCGGCTCACTGCAAACTCCGCCTCCCGGGTTCACGCCCTTCTCCTGTCTCAGCCTCCCGAGTAGTTAGGACTACAGGCGCCCGCCACCATGCCTGGCTAATTTTTTTTTATATTTTTAGTAGAGACAGGGTTTCACCGTGTTAGCCAGGATGGTCTCGATCTCCTGACCTCATGATCCACCCACCTCGGCCTCCCAAAGTGCTGGGATTACAGGCATGAGCCACCGTGCCCAGCCAGAACAGGATATATTCCTTAAAGATAACATTCAATCTACCATAATAGATAAAAATCTAGTTTAACAGTTGAGTAGAAATAATGCCCAAGAAACAGATGCCCAAGCAATAACCAGTAAATAAACCATATATTAATAAACTTTCCTTTCACTGGAAAAATCTGTAAATTTATCTTAAGAAAATTATAGCACTTCACTTTTTTAAATTGAGGTGAAATTCACATAACATAAAACTGACCATTTTTAAGTATACAATTCAGTAGCATTTAGTACATTCACAGTATTGTGCAGTCATCACCTGTAGCTAATTCCAAAACATTTTCATCATCCCCGAAGCCAGTCCTATTCCATTAACCAGTCACTCCCCATTCCTCCTATATCACTTTTAAAGTAATATAATGTGATAAATATTTCACAAAATTACAGACATTTCATCATTCTAATGAGTAAATATTAGGACATATGTAGGGAAAAGAAAGATCAGACTGCTACTGTGTCTATATAGAAAGAAGTAGACATAAGAGACTCCATTTTGTTCTGTATTTGAGATGCTGTTAATCTGTGACCCTACCCCCAACCTTGTCCTTGCAAGAGACATGTGCTGTGGTAACTCAAGGTTTAATGGATTTTGGGCTGTGCAGGATGTGCTTTGTTAAACAAGTGCCTGAAGGCAGTATGCTGGTTAAAAGTCATCACCATTCTCTTAATCTCAAGTACCCAGGGACACGTACACTGACAAAGGTCGCAGGGACCTCTGCCTAGGAAAGCTAGGTATTGTCCAAGGTTTCACCCCATGTGATAGTCTGAAATATGGCCTCGTGGGAAGAGAAAGACCTGATCGTCCGCCATCCTGACACCCGTGAAGGGTCTGTGCTGAGGAGGACGAGTGTAAGAGGAAAGAAGCCGCTGGCAGTTGAGATAGAGAAAAGCATCTGTCTCCTGCCCATCCCTGGGCAATGGAACATGTCCGTGTAAAACCCGATTGTATGTTCTGTTTACTGAGAAAGGAGAAAACCGCCTTAGGGTGAAAGGTGGGACTTGCTAGCACAATGCTGCTCTTTATGCACTAAAAAGGTTTATGAAGATATTTGCATATGCCTATCAAGGCACAGCACTTTTCCTTAAACTTATTCCTGTCACAGAGATCTTTATTCATACAGAAATAAACCCCTGTAATGATGGTTACTGATTTTTGGACAAAGCTGTGAAGACAATTCAATGGGAGAAAGAAGTCTTTTAACAAATGATGTTAGGACACATGGATATACACATGCAAAAGAATAAAGTTGGACTCCTACCTCATACCATATTCAAAAATTAAAATGGATCAAAGAATTAAAGAGCTAAAACTATAAAACTCTTTAAAAAACATAAATCTTTGTGACTGGGTTTTCAAGATGAACCTTGAAAACATTAAGCCAGTCACAAAGGCCACATATTGTATGATTCTGTTTATATGAAATATATGAAATGTCCACAGTAGGCAAATATATAGAGAGATGAAGTAGGTTAGTGACTGCCAGGGGCTGGAGAGTAGGGGGTGGAAAAGATGGAGAGGGATTGCTTATGAGTTTAGGGCTTTTCTTTTTAGGGTGATAAGTATGTTTTAAAAATAGTGATAGTAGTGATACTTGCACAGCTCTGTGAATATATTAATACTTAAAACACCACTGAAGACTTTCAAAGGGTAGATTTTATGTATGTGAATTAAATCTTAGTAAAACTAGGACTTCAAAAGTGTTCATGCAATGTCTACACTTGAATAAAGTATAATAAAAATATGTATTCCTACAATATTAAATTCACTTCAACATCGGACGCTGTTGGTTCCAAGCTATCAGAAGTTAGAATTTCCAAATAAAATGTTAGTTTGAAATACATAAATGCTTACATGTAGCACTTTAGCAATCAATTCTCCACCTTCAGGCCCAATATCATTAAACATGAGGTTTAAGTAAATGAGATTGAGTTGTTTCTATGAGAGAAAATAAGCTATTACACATTATTATTATTATTGGAAATTGATCAGTTTTACATACATACACACAGTATATATATATATACACACACACACACATACACACAGTATATACTTTATTTGAATAAGTGTTTTCCTGCAAAGAAAATCTTTTTAACCAAGAAAGACTGTATCCTAGCAAAAACAACTACCATTAAGGAAAAAAAAAAATCATTCTTATGTAAACAAAATATAATTACAATATAAATGAAAGAAAAACTTTCGTTTTGATCAATCTGAAAGATAGATGTGGTGTATATATTTAATCATGGTGTACAAGTTTGCAAAAGAACTCAGGAGCTCTAGCTACTGGCTCCATTGAGACCAAATTCACAGTGGGTTTCCAGTATATTTCAAGTGTTCTAGCACAGAGTCGGGACCCTTGACATCGGGTAAAACTAGTATTTTATGTGTGTGTCATTAGACTAATTGGTTTCACTGTAAATGGAACTAAGGACATTTTGTAGTAAAATAATACCTGAACCAGTTTCGCAGCATAGTATGCACCAACATCACTTAGAAGGTTATATCCAACATCCAAACCTGAAGCACAGATGAATAGAGCTGATATTCCTTATAAAGAATACTTAAATCAGATCAGTGAAAAGCAGGAGGTATTGATTCTTATGGAAACATACCATTAATATACAGACAATTCTTTAAAATTCTGGAAAGAATCCAAAAATCTTCACCTGTAACTCTTTCTACTGGCACTAAGCGATTGTTACCAGCAATGTTTAATGTGATTCCTGCTGCTAGCCTGTTAAAATACAAAAAAAAAAAGATTTTGAAATAGAAACCCAGTAAAGAATTAAAGTATGTTTCCTTCATGTATAAATAGTCATATCACAGATAACAGTTACTGAAAGCAAGCATATAGTAAGTAGACTTATATAGTATGTTTATAACAGGTAACTTAAAACTACTGAACATTCTGCAGACTGCAAAGTGCTTTAAAAGATTCCGTATAATTTCTCTCTCACACACACTCACACTCACACAAACAGTATCCCCACTTTTATAGATAACAACACTGAAAACTTCAATGATTTTCTTAGACTCACCCAGCTTAGGTCAAGCGTGGTGGTCACGCCTGTTAATCTCAGCACTTTGGGAGGCCAAGGCGGGCGGATCACCTGAGGTCAGGAGTTCGAGACCAGCCTGGCCAACATGGTGAAACCCTGTCTCTACTAAAAATACAAAAATTAGCCGGGCATGGTGGCGGGTGCCTATAATCCCAGCTACTCAGGAGGCTGAGAGAGGAGAACTGCTTGAACCCAGGAGGCTTTGCAGTGAGCCAAGATCATGCCACTGCACTCTAGCCTGGGGGACAGAGGGACACACTCGTCTCAGGAAAAAAAAAAAAAAAGATTCACCCCGCCCACACACACACACAAAAGATTCACCCCGCCCACAGAAGTTAAAGATCACTCTGGAGCCCAAGCTTGGGTACTCCCGGTCTAGTGCTCTTTCCTGAATGCTATACCACCTCTAAGACCTACTAACAGTGTTGCTCGTCTGCTTACTTACCTGAATCAAACGGTATATCCATTTTACCAAGCATTTTCAAATGGCTATAAAATCACTCAATATGTTAGGATTTTCACACACATGAATATAAGCAAACACTATTAATGTAATCAAGTATTTGTCTTTCTTACCCCTTTTTAATTTCTTCATCCACTTCTTGGAGTATACGCAATATAAAAGGATTAATTTTCTGGGATTTTTCCATACACAGATTAGAATAATGTTCCTGGAGACCAGATTCTGGAGATTCTGAAAAATATATGCATCCTCCATCACATATAAATTATTCTAGAAACTTTTTGAATACCATAAAAACTATACTTCTTTCAAAGATATGAGTTGTACGTGTGTATAGTGGGGGTAGGGAAGAAAAGGAAACAGAAATAAGGTTAGAAAAAGAGAAGAGAAAAATAATGGGATAGATAATTAAAATGCTGTTTGGAGAACTAGGGCCACTGAACCACCCACTGAGGCTTGGCAGACACTGGCTTAAGTGAGCACCCTACATTGGAAGTGACATTAAGGGAGAACTAAGCTCCATTATGTGCCAGGCCTGGTAGCTGAGGAAAATGACTTCCAAAGACATTATATATTTTGTCCTAAACCATGCAGCTAATAAGGGCAGAGTGCAGAATCAAACTGATTCCAAAACCTCTTTCCACTGTGCCCTATTGGGTTGCAGTGACTCAACATTTCTTTCTTTTTTTTTTTTTTTTTTCAGTATCTCAGCATCCATCAGAGGAAAAGGTTTCTTAAAATAGCTTCATATAAAAACAATTTTATCTAATAACCTAACTCAAAAGGGATCTGAAAAATCACCTACTCCCACAAGCTTCTTGGATACCCTCTACATCATCCCAAGTTTGAATGTAACTGTCAATTCTTCATACCAAATCGAGGCCTGGCTCACAGAAGCTCTTCTCCTACCCAGCCTTCCATCTCCTCTTTCTAAAGGTGACTTTTCCCTAAGTTCTTAAGAAGATAGAAACAAAGCAGGAATTGAGATCTCCTTTCTGTTATACATGCAGCTTTCCTTAATGACCTGTTTTCAGTAATACCTCAAAAGCATCTTCTGCAAGGCCTACGTCTTCTGGGGTAGAAGTTATGCTGTTACTTTTCTTAGAAGCACAGGCCACTGTTTTTGTTTCTATACTTCTACCTTTTGTGGATGTCTTTTAAAAATTTGTGCACAGAGATCTCATTGCTCAACCAGCCTAGCTTTTTAGGAGCTGGCTTCTCTTCTAAGTCTCTATATCTCAGAAATGTTTACTGAGTGTCCTTTGCACTCTGAAGAATAATGAGTTTGCTAGCAGAACAAGATTTAACATGAGGAACATTACATTTCAGATGAAAGCAAACAAAATGTTCTTATAGTTTTTAATAACCTTTTTAAAAATAAATTTAATATACTTATTCCAGACAATTTGGAAATTTCTTTTTTTTTTTTGAGACCAGTTCTCAATCTGCCGCCCAGGCTGGAGAGCAGGAGCGCAATCTCAGCTCACTGCAACCTCTGCCTCCCGGGTTCACACGATTCTCCTGCCTCAGCCTCCCAAGTAGCTGGGACTACAGGCACACACCACCACACCCGGCTATAAAGACGCAGTTTCACCATGTTGGCCAGGCTGGTCTCAAACTCCTGCCCTCAAGTGATCAGCCCGCCTCAGCCTCCCAAAGTGCTGGGATTACAGGTGAGCCAATGCACCCGACCGGAAATTTCTAGTATTAAAAGAAAATACATGTTACTCTGCAATCCCACTGCCAAAGAACAACCACAATTGAGGTCTAGGCATACATACTTCCTATAGTTTTTCTTTCATATGCATATTAAGTATTTTTTAAACAAAATTAGAATCTTTGGATATAATTTTCTATGCTGTTTTTTTCAGTTAACGTTACATTGTAAGCAGTTTTCCCATGTCACTAGATAATCTCTGACAATTTTAAATAGCATAATTTCTGTCATGTGGATAGATGTACATATTGAAAAAGCTTCACCTATTTTGGAAAATTTTCATGTATTTAAATGATATTGTAGCACAATATTTCCCAAATTGTATTTTGTGGAATATTCATGTTCTACAGGATGATCAAAGGTGTTCCAAACAGAATAGGTTTTATTATCAAGTAAGTTTGAGAAGTGCTAAAATAAACAAAACTATACAGAGACACAACACTTCTCAGAGTATTTAAAACATGTGCACACTCTTCAAACTGTTAAGCTTGAGAATAGGGAAGATAAGAATGCTGCATTTCTGGCCGGGTGCGGTGGCTTATGCCTGTAATCCCAGCACTTTGGGAGGCCGAGGCAGGTGGATCACTTGAGGCCAGGAGTTCAAGACCAGCCTGGCCAACATGGTGAAACCCTATCTCTACCAAAAAATACAAAAATTAGCCGGCGTGGTGGCGCGTGCCTGTAGTCCCAGCTACTTGGGAGGTTGAGGCGACAGAATCGCTTGAACGCGAGCAGTGGAGGTTGCAAGATTGCAGTGAGCGGAGATCGCGCCACTGCACTCCAGCCTGGGCGACAGAGGAGACTCCATCTCAAACACACACACACACACACACACACACACACACACACCCCTCACTTGGAATGCAATCTAGAAAATGCTGCTTTAGCGTCCTCCCAGGAAACAAAGCAAGTAGATCCCAAATAGAAGATGGAGCTGGGCTCCCAGTAAGCTTCTTTCTTCCCTACTCTCTTCCTTGGCATTAAGAGAAAGATTGCCCTGAGAATCTCCGAGATTCAGCGCTGCCCACACCACAAACAAGGCACAGAAATGTGTCAGACTACAATTCATTTTCGCAAAGGCATGAAGGAATCTTAGACTACGAGCTAAATACAGCTAAACAAAATTATGGAAATATTATTATTTAACAAGCTAGCCACAGATTTACAGTATTTAAAAGTTTCTGCTACCCTTCCTTTGACTTAAAATTCACCTATGTATTTTGTATGCCAGGATTTTATGGCACCAATGAATTTATTTCCTATACTGTAAAGTAAAAACTAGGAAATAACCCAGCTACGCAGAAAAATGTAAAGAACCTAACCCAAATTTCATTTTTTCATCCACGACTCTGGCAGCACGTTTTACAATTTCCAGAGAAAGGACTTATTTAGGAGGCAGATCCCTCCAAAACATGCTTTTCTATACTTAGCCAAGCACTGGGAAATCCAAGAGATGAGCATGAGTCAGAACGTGGGTGCCCCACCCAGAATCCGCAGTGTGCACATTTGAACAAATTGTTATCCCAGCTTTAATTTCCTCTCATGCTAAAGGCAGAGCCTAACACTGCCCATCTCCTGGATTCAGTGAGTACTATTAAGTCAGCCTCCGAACACAGTTCCGTATCCACAAACATACTTTAAAACAAGCATATAAAACGGAAATGGCGTGTAAGGGGTGGCCCTTCAGGGTATGCTTAACTCGCTAAAGATCATTCATGGGCGCAGAAATATTTAAAATGGAGACAGTACAGAGGTGCAAAGTCAGAAACGGTATCAAGACCCTCATGCCCACCTGTGACCTGCTCTCTGGGACTTTCACAGAAAGGGGTCTGAGAAGAGCCCCCCAGCCACACCCTCCCGGAGGGAGACCCTGGAGATCCCGAGAGCACGGCGACAGACACCATCTGCACAACCTATCGCACAAACGGCGGGGACTCCTCTCCTGCCCTCGTTTCGGGGCGCCCCAAACCTCTGGTCACAGATGGGGTTCCCAGGGGCACTCTCCCTCCGCGCCGCCTTGGGCTGGCGGGCTGCTAGAAGGACTCCGGCCGTGGGACCCCAGCGCCCCTCGCGCGTTTCGTCCGGGCCAGGCCGCGCAGACGGGCTCCCTACTTCTTACCGCGCTGGCCCACCAGGGCCGCGCCCAGAGTACGGGCCTGAGTGGGGGCCCAAGCCGGGGACCTGGCCGGCGCACGGTCGGCCTCCCGGGGGCTCCCCATGCTCCTCTCACCCACTGGCCGCGGCGGCTGCGCTGCCATGGCGACCGCGCGCGCGCTTACAGTCCGCCTGCAGCTGTGAGGCGGCTACACAAGCGCCAGCGCCAGCGCCAGCCTGCGCCGAGTCCCGCCAGCTGTGCCTGCCCGGGCCCCGAGGCCTAACTGCTAAGGCAGTGACCGCTAACTCTGTGGAGATCCTCTGTCACTCTGCCCTGGTTAAAGGCAGCCTGAGGGAGGGCGTCCTGGCTCCTTTGCAGGGAGGAGTTCCCGAGGTTTGAGGGGCTCCGCTGCTGAGCTAGGGCTGGGACTACAAAGAAGATTATGACAAAGCCCCCTCCTGCAAAGTGTTCACCCGCCTGCTCGGCCAGCGAACAAGCAGAGAGTAGCATCAGCACATGATAAAGCCGTAGGGCTTTGGGAGCAAAAAGGGTTTTGTGCTCCCAAAGGGCGGGGCTACCTCCCCAAAGGGAGGGCTTCTTGAAGGAGGTAATATCTGGATGGTCGGAAGGAGGCTGCCAGAGGGCAGAATGCTTGGTGCGTTCTGGGCATGCGCAGGTACTTAACTATACTCAGATCAGTGCAGACAACCGGGAGGCGGGCGGGGCCGGATCTACATGTGTTACGAAAAGGCCAGGGGTTGCGTCTAGATCCTGCTGCTCCTGGCACAGAATGCCAATCACTGAAACAATGAGAATTCCCAGGGAAGAAGGCAATTGCCAGGGAAGAACAAGATTTAACATGGGGAACGTTATATTTCAGATGAAAGCAAACAAAATTTTCTTATAGTTTTTAATAACCTTTTAAAAAATAAATTTAATATACTTATTCCAGACAATTTGGAAATTTCTTTTTTTTTTGAGACCGGTTCTCAATCTGTCGCCCAGGCTGGAGAGCAGGCAATCTCGGCTCACTGCAACCTCTGCCTCCGGGGTTCAAGCGATTCTCTGGTGCTGCAGCCGAGGAGATGGGAAATCAGTCTCAAATCTGTCTCCCCAACCAACTAGAATCAGGGGTTTATATAGCGAGAAAGAAATGTGACTACTTGCAGGAAATCAGGAATTAGGGAGGGGTAAGGAAGAGGAGTTAGTCAACAGGAATCAGGTGGTCGCTTAGGGAATCATGATAGGTGAGGGATCTGGTGTCTCATTGTCCAGATGTGATGATCTGGTAAGTTTCATTTCCTTGATACTGAAACGGTAATAGTTTCCTTATCACCCTTGCAGGGCATGTGATGGTGAGGCAGAAAAACAGGGTCTGGAGGTAGGGAACATAAGGCCGATTCACACTTCAGCTATAACAGGAAATATCCTCTCCATAGGGTGTACACCATAAACGACTTTGTAACCTTACTTCATCTTCTTCATTTACACAGGGCGTAATCCAAGTAACCAATGGAATCCTCTAAGGGGTATTTAAACTCCCAAAAAATTTGTAACGGGGCCTTTGAGCCCCTGTGCTCAGCCCACTCCCACACTGTGGAGTGTACTTTCATTTTCAATAAATCCCTTCATTCCTTCCTTGCTTTGTTTATGCGTTTTGCCCAATTTTTTGTTCAAGACGCCAAGAACCTGGACACCTTCTACCGGTAACAATGGGGGTGTGGCTTGCTTCTTTGGTGCTCTGCTGAAACCCTTAGGGGGAGCATGCAGACGGGCAGGTTGTGGGGCACGTGAGCTCGGAACCCAGGGCAGTGTCTAGGAGCGAAGGCTTACAGCTTCTGAAGCGAAGCTCCGGTGGGCGTGTGTTACAGGGTGCTCTTTTAGTTTTGCTGTCTATAGGCGGATTGTGTTAATCAGCTCAGTTAGACCCTCTGTCTTATCGCAAGGGCAGAGGGCTTTCTGCATCCTGGGGTTCTTGCCTTGTTGTACCGGTAAAATCGGATCACACAATGGGCTTGGAAAATGAATGCAAGGTTTATTGAATGGTGGAAGTGGCTCTCAGAGTTGGATGGGGAGCCAGAAAGGGAATGGAGTGGAAAGGTGGTTTTTCCCTGGAGTCCGGCCGCTCAGCAGTCGGACTCTTCGCTGACTACGCTGGCCAAATTCCCCTCAGTCTACGCATTGTTCTACCTGTGGATGGTCTGGCGTTGTCCGCTGGTGCCTGTCAGTGTGCTCTTCTGCTCCTCTGTTCCTCTCAATGTCCAGCCACCTGTGTGCTCCTCCACTGGTGTGTTCCTCTCAACATCCAGCTGCTTGTGTCTGTGCCTACTAGGGTCTCTGGGTGTTTGTTTGTTTTTTGAGACAGTCTCCCTCTGTGGTCCAGGCTGGAGTGCAGTGGCATGATCTTGGCTCACTGCAACCTCTGCCTCCCAGCTTCAAGTGATTCTCCCACCTCAGCCTCCAGAATAGCTGGGATTACAGACATCCACCACTACGCCCAGCTAATTTTTGCACTTTTAGTAGAGACAGAGTTTCACCATGTTGGCCAGGCTAGTCTCGGACTCCTGACCTCAAGTGATCCACCTGCCTCTGCCTCCCAAAGTGCTGGGATTACAGGCGTGAGGCACCGCGCCTGACCCTTTAACCCATTTGGGTTTGATTTTTGTATGTGGCAAGAGATAGGAGTCTAGTTTCATTCTTTTGCATATGGATATCCAGTTTCCCCAGAATCATTATTGAAGAAACTATCTTTTCCCCAACGTATGTTACTGATACTTTTGTCAAAAACGAGTTCACCGTAGATGTATGGATTTATATCTGGGTTCTCTATTCTGTTCCATTGGTCTATATGTCTATTTTTATGCCAGTACCATGCTATTTTGGTTACTTTAGCTCTGCAATACAATTTTAATTTAGGTAATGTAACTCCTCCAGTTTTTTCTTCTTGCTCAGGTTAGCTTTGACTATGCTGGGTCTTTTGTGGTTTCATATAAATTTTAGGATGTTTTTTCTATTTCTGTGAAGAAGGTCTTTGGTATTTTGATAGGAATTGCATATAATCTGTAAATTTCTTTGGATAAAATGGACATTTTAACAATAATTATTATTCTAATCCAAGAACATAAAATATCTTTCCTTTTGTGTGTGTGTGTGTGTGTGTCCTCTTTAATTTCTTACATCAATGTTTTATAGTTTTCACTGTAGAGATCTTTTACTTCTTTGGTTGAGTTTATTCCTAGGTATTTTATTTTATTTTTAGCTACTGTAAATGAGATTATTTTCTTTTTTTGATTGTTTGCTGTTGGCATATAGAAATGCTACTGATTTTTGTATGTTGATTTTGTATCCTACAACTTTACTGAATTTGTTTATCCATTCTAATAATTTTTTTGGTGGAGTCTTTAGGATTTTCCAAATATAAGATTATATCATCTGCAAACAAGGATAATTTGAGTTCTTCTTTTCCAGTTTGGATGCTCTTTATATCTTTCACTTGTCTACTTACTCTAGCTAAGACTTCCAGTGCTACATTTAATAATGGTAGTTAAAGTGAGCATCCTTGTGTTGTTCCAGATTCTAGAGAAAAGATTTTCAGTATTTCTCGTTCAGTATGATACTACCTATGGGCCTGTCATATATGGTTTTTATTGTGTTGAGGTATCTTCCATCTACTCCCAGTTTGTTGAAGGTTTTTATCATGAAGGGATGTTGAAATTTTCACATGCTTTTTCAGCATCAATTAAAATGATCACATGGTTTTTGGCCTTCATTTTGTTGATAGGATGTATCACATTGATTGATTTGTGTGTCTTGAGCCATCCTTGCATTCCTGAGATGAATGCCACTTGGTCATGATGAATGATTTTTTTAATGTGTTGTTGAATTCAGTTTCCTGGCATTTTGTTGAGAATTTTTGCATCAAGGTTCATCAGGGACATTGCCCTATAGTTTTCTTTTCCTTTTCTTTTTTTTCTTTCTTTCTTTTTTTTTTTTTTTTTTTTGGTGTGTCTTTATCTGGTTTTGGTGTCAGGGTAATACTGGCCTCATAGAATGAATTTGAAAGTAGTGTTTCCTCCTCTATTTTTCAGAATAGCTTGAGTAGGATTGGTATTAGTTCTTCTTTAAATGTTTGATAAAATTCAGCATTGAAGCCATTGGATCCCAGGCTTTTCTTTGCTAGGGTAACTTTTTATTATGACTTTGATCTTTTTACTTGTTATTGGTCTATTGAGGTTTCAGATTTCTTCATGGTTCAATCTTGGTAAATGGTGTATATCTAGGAATTTATCCATTTCTTCTAGGTTTCCCAGTGTGTTAAAATATAGTTGATCCTCGGAATTTCTGCTGTATCAGTTGTAATGTCTCCTTTTTCATCTCTGATTTTATTTATTGGGTCTTCTCTCTTTTTTTCTTAATCTGGCTAGAAGTTTATTGATTTTGTTCATCTTTTCAGAAAACAACTTTTCATATAATTTTATTAATTTTTTGGATTGTTCTTTATTTTAATTTTATTTATTTCTGCTCTGATTTTTATTATTTCTTTTCTTCTGCTTTTTCTTTTATTTTTATTATTTCTTTCCTTCTTCTTTTTTTTTTTTTTTTTTTTAGACAGCGTTTTGCTCTGCTGCCCAGGCTGGAGTACAGTGGCATGATCTCAGCTCACTGCAACCTCTGCCTCCTGGGTGCAAGCAATTCTCATGCCTCAGCCTCCTGAGTAGCTGGGATTACAGGCACACACCACCACGCCTGGCTGATTTTTGTATTTTTAGTAGAGATGGGGTTTCACCATGTTGGCCAAGCTGTTCTTGAACTCCTGACCTCAGGTAATCCACTTGCCTCAGCCTCTCAAAGTGCTGGGATTACAGGCGTGAGCTATCACTCCAGCCTTCTACTAACTTTGAATTTGGTTTGCTCTTACTTTTCTGGTTCTTTAAGATGCATCATTACATTGTTTATTTGAAGTTTTCCTGCTTTTTTGATGTAGGCACTTACTTCTATAAACATTCCTCTTAGTACTGCTTTCACTGTATCCCACAGCTTTTGTTATGTTGTGTTTCCATTTTAATTTGTTTCAAGAATTTTTTAAATTTTCTTAATTTTTTTCATCGACCTACTGGTCATTCAGGAGCATGTTGTTTAATTTCCATGTATTTGTATGATTCCCAAATTTCTTCTTGTTATTGCTTTCTAGTTTTATTCCACCATGCTCAGAGAAGATATTTAATATGATTTTGATATTTTTGAAATTTTTAAGACTTGTTTTGTGACCTAAAATGTGGTCTATCCTTGAGAAGGTCCATGTGCTGAGGAAACGAATATGTATTCTGCAGCTGTTGGGTGAAATGTTCTGTAAATATCTAGGTCCATTTGGTCTATAGTGCAGATTAATTCCAGTGCTTCTTTATTGATTTTCTGTCTTGATCTGTCCAATACTGAAAGTGTCCAATGCTGAAATCAACAGCCATTATTATACTGGAGTCTATCTCTTTCTTTATCTCTAGTAATATTTGCTTTACATAACTAGGTGATCCAGTGTTGGGTGTATATATATTTACAATCATTATATCCTCTTGATGAATGAACCCCTTTATCATTATATAATGACCTTTTTTGTCTTTTTTTTATA